AAAGGATTTTTGGAGACATTTTATATCCATGGCTATATTATTCCATTTCCCCACATTTGCAGAGTGTCCTCTTCCAGAAAGTAAGGCCTGGGGTTGTGGTTTTCTTTTTCTGTAAACAAGTCACAGTTTCAGGTTTGGGAATCGCAATACTCCAAAGAACATGCCTTGTAGCTTACAGTAGAGGAGGAGGAAATCAGGAGTGACCATGCAGTTATGCACCAGAATACTGCTTGTTCACAATAAGCTTTGGTTTCTGTCTGTACAACAGAATGATGTGTACAATACATGCTGTCATTCTGCTTTCCCTGTTCGGTTTCAGGAACTGGAGCTCTATAAAGCTTATTTTGTAATCAAATCCTAACTCTGTATCTTTGGAAACGAGTCCCACTTGTTTTGGTTAGGCATGCTTCCTCCTTCTAATGAAGCAAATCTTGCACTGCAGCCTTAAAAAGGCAAATCCTTAATTCTTCTGTTTAATCTTTCTCATTGGAGGTTTGTTAGTGGACTAACCAACTCGTATTTTAAGTTGTGTGTCCCCCCCTCCCAGTTTTGCTAATTCAGAAGCTGACTTTCTAAGAAAAATTCAAACCAACAGCTAATATGTAATAGCTTCATGTGTAAAGAATTGTTTTCCCATGGACAGGATATCCCAGGTGTCAGGGTTTTTATGTAGGTTCTTTATTTCATTTGATTAACTCTTCTGAACAGATAAATTATGAAACACAGTGTAATGTTTTTAACCTTTCTCAAGTACTTAAGCCGAAATAAAACATTACTATCTCTTCCATTGCGTCTTTTCTTTAAAATGTGATTTGGTACGTATGAGGAATGTTAGATCTGTCACATAATTTCTTCATGCTGTCATGTACTTTTTAGAAAGGTCGTGCTCCAAAAGTCCTAATATTTTTGTGTGGAAATTACTGGTAAATAATGTCTGTCCTGAGTCATGGTCAAAATTGACAGTTTGAACAGTCCAGAGCAGTCTACAAATTGCTCACCCACAACCCCATTCCTGCCTTACTATGCTAGAAGGTGCTTCTCTCATATTCTGGTGTTCTCTGTCATAAATTTTGCACCTAATAATTCATAATGACTACTCAATGCGATCGAGACATTCAAACTGTCGTTCCAGATACTAAAATTTGCGTATTTGAAGATCACTTTACTAAAACAGCAGCTGGAATTGATCGATGTTGACTTCCAACCTCAATTTGCAAAACTACCATAGTTGTCATCGAGTAAATAATAAATGCAAGAGTTTTTAGTCATTCTAACTAATCTTAGTTGTGTTAAAAAAATCATTTAAGAATGCAATTGGTTTTCATAGAATCATAGAGTTGGAATAGACCACAAGGGCCATCGAGTCCAACCCCCTGCCAAGCAGGAAACACCATCAGAGCACTCCTGACATATGGTTGTCAAGCCTCTGCTTAAAGACCTCCAAATAAGGAGACTCCACCACACTCCTTGGCAGCAAATTGCACTGTCAAACAGCTCTTACTGTCAGGAAGTTCTTCCTAATGTTTAGGTGGAATCTTCTTTCTTGTAGTTTGGATCCATTGCTCCGTGTCCGCTTCTCTGGAGCAGCAGAAAACAACCTTTCTCCCTCCTCTATATGACATCCTTTTATATATTTGAACATGGCTATCATATCACCCCTTAACCTCCTCTTCTCCAGGCTAAACATGCCCAGCTCCCTTAGCCGTTCCTCATAAGGCATCGTTTCCAGGCCTTTGACCATTTTGGTTGCCCCCCTCTGGACACGTTCAAGTTTGTCAGTGTCCTTCTTGAACTGTGGTGCCCAGAACTGGACACAGTACTCCAGGTGAGGTCTGACCAGAGCAGAATACAGTGGCACTATTACTTCCCTTGATCTAGATTCTATACTCCTATTGATGCAGCCCAGAATTGCATTGGCTTTTTTAGCTGCCGCGTCACACTGTTGGCTCATGTCAAGTTTGTGGTCAACCAGGACTCCTAGATCCTGCGAGTACAGCAGTAGTTTGCAATTGAATTCTGGATTGGTGCTCTGAGAGTGGCTGAAGAAGGAATGTTGCAGAACTGAGCAATTGCTGCAGCTTGATGCTGGATTTGCATGGTGTGGGGGCAGTTTTGTTGTTGTTGCAAACTGGCCTTGTTCAGAACCCTAGCCTGCAATATCAACAACAGACTACATCCCAAGGCTGCTGCAAACCACCCTCTCAAGTCACCCAAACTTTGTGATGTTTACACCCAAACCTTGCAATATCATGAGAACAAAATAGTGCAGCGCTGAGAACTAGTATCAGAGACTATATATTAAATGTCTTTTTGGAGCTGGGAGATGGAATAGGGACTTGATCCATCCACTCCATGCATCGACCTGGTATTGCAGTACAGTGGGCTCTCGGGTTGCAAACGTGATCCGTGCGGGGTGCACGTTTGCAACCCGCAGCGGCACTTCTGCGCATGCACGGGTTGCAATTTGGCGCTTCTGCGCATGTGTGACCACCGAAACCCGGAAGTAACCCGTTCTGGTACTTCTGAGTTTCAGCGGTCCGTAACCCGAAAAAGCGCAACCTGAAGCATCTGTAGCCCGAGATATGACTGTAACTCCAGGAACAGTGCACCTCCCTTCTGGGGAGAATATTGCTTGTTAAAAAAAATAGATAAGAGAGAGAGAGAAAAAGAACTAGTATCAGAGGGCTATTAAATATAAAATATGAATAATATTGATATCAAATAAGTCCCGAGTTAGAAAGAGCATGAATTTCCCCCCTCTCTGCTACTACTGTAGTTTCTGTGGGGGACCCAAGAGTCATCTAGTCCAACCCCCTCTGCAAGGCAGGAATCTCAACTAAATCATCCAGGGACCATGACACATGGCCATCCAAACCCCTGCTTTAAAACCTCCAAGGGAGGAGAGTTCTGTGTGGATAGTTCATATTGTAGAGCATGAGGCTCTTAATCTCAGGGTCATGGGAGCCCCACGTTGGGCAGGGGATTCCTGCATTGCAGTGGGTTGAACTAGATGACCTGGATGAATCCCAAACTGGAATTAAGATTGCCGGAAGAAATATCAACATCCTCAGATATGCAGATGACACAACCTTGATGGTAGAAAGTGAGAAGGAATTAAAGAACCTTTTAATGAGGGTGAAAGAGGAGAGTGCAAAATATGGTCTGAAGCTCAACATAAAAAAAACCAAGATCTTGGCCACTGGGCCCATCACCTCCTGGCAAATAGAAGGGGAAGAAATGGAGGCAGTGAGAGATTTTACTTTCTTGCGCTCCATGATCACATGAAATACGCCTGCTTCTTGAGAGAAAAGCAATGACAAACCTAAAGGTAAAGGGACCCCTGACCATTAGGTCCAGTCATGACCGGCTCTGGGGTTGCGGCACTCATCTCGCTTTAGTGGCCGAGGGAGCCGGCGTACAGCTTCTGGGTCATGTGGTCAGCATGACTAAGCTGCTTCTGGCAAACCAGAGCAGTGCACGGAAATGCCATTTACCTTCCCGCCGGAGTGGTACCTATTTATCTACTTGCACTTTGACGTGCTTTTGAACTGCTAGTTTGGCAGGAGCAGGGACCGAGCAACGGGAGCTCACCCCTTCGCGGGGATTCGAACCGCCAGCCTTCTGATTGGCAAGTCCTAGGCTCTGTGGTTTAGACCACAGCACCACCTGCGTCCCATGACAAACCTAGACAGCATCTTAAAAAGCAGAGATGTATCCTTGCCGACAAAGGTCCTTATAGTTAAAGCCATGGTTTTCCCAGTAGTGATGTATGGAAGTGAGAGCTGGACCATCAAGAAGGCTGATCGCCGAAGAATTGATGCTTTTGAATTATGGTGCTGGAGGAGACTCTTGAGAGTCCCATGGACTGCAAGAAGATCAAACACATCCTTTCTTAAGGAAATCAGCCCTGAGTGCTCACTGGAAGGACAGATCCTGAAGCCGAGGCTCCAATACTTTGGCCGCCTCATGAGAAGAGAAGACTCCCTGGAAAAGACCCTGATGTTGGGAAAGATGGAGGGCACAAGGAGAAGGGGACGACAGAGGACGAGATGGTTGGATAGTGTTCTCGAAGCTACCAGCATGAGTTTGACCAAACTGCGGGAGGCAGTGGAAGACAGGAGGGCCTGGCGTGCTCTGGTCCATGGGGTCACGAAGAGTCGGACACGACTAAACAACAAAGGGTCCTTTCCTACTCTACAAATCTTTTTTTAAAAAAATAATTTTTTATTAGATTTTCCACAATGATAACACCAACCAAAAAGCAAAATGATACACAGAAACAGAAAAAGAAAAGAAGGGGGGGGGAGAGAATAATAAACAGATAAACAATAACAACAAACTTAATTCTTCACAAATCCAACCTTTTAAACATCTTGGTTGACTTCCTCAAATCCCTCCCTTCTGAATTTCCTTGTAATTAAAAGTAACAGCTTTCCAATATCATTAAACTAAAACAATTTCCAGTTATTGGAAGTAATTATTTATTAATAATAATTAATAAATCAATAAATAATTTTATTATTATAATAAATTATTAATGAATTAAATTTATTATAAATAATAAATATTAATTAATTATCTATTAATAAGGAATGAATGAATGAATGAATGAATGAATAAATCCAATTATCCATCTTATTTACTTTTCTTAACATTCTAAATCCCATTTATTTAATTATAGCCAACTCTACAATTCTTTCCTTCTATTGATTTCCGCCCCGAGGGAAACGCTGCAAACGCTCCTCGCAAGTCCCACTCAGAACAATAAGGACGGGCTACTCTTCCCTTTTTTTAAATCTCCGTACGTGACATGTCACGTCCAAGCCCGGGGGCGGGGCCTTGAAAAGAGGCGCATGCGTCCGTTGCGCGCGCATCGCGCGCCGGGGCCACGTCTATGCATCCGGGAGTGCGTTGGCTGCGCCGCCACGTGACACCAGCCCTCCCTCCCTACTGGCTGGCGAGCGGCGCGAGGGTCACGTGGCCGGAAGGGAAAACCCGGAAGCGGGCTAGAGGCCGGATCTCGGTTTCCTTGGCTACGACGGAGAAGGGCGGGAGGGGGGAGGAAAAAAAAAAGGGCCGGTCCCTTCTTATGTCGCGGCGGCACCAGTAGCAGCAGCAGCACCAGCGCTGAGGGGATGGCACAGAGCCGGGCCTAGCGAGGCAGCTGCCGCCATGAGCGGAGTAGCGGTTGGCGGCCAGGGAAGGAGCGACGGCGGAGGAGGAGGAGGCGGCGGCGGCGGCGACTCCGCAGGCCGCTGGGCTGGCTGGAAACTGCTGGCCTTGGGCCTCCTCTCCGCGTCCTCGGTGCTGGCGGCAGCCCCGGCCGTGCAGGCCATGGGCAGGGAGGAGAAGCGGCGCCTCGGGTAAGAGCGGCGGCGGCGGCGGGAGGGAGCGGGGGGCCCGCCTTGTTCCGCCCCCGGGCAGGTCGCCCTGTCAGGGAAGTGGCGGCGCTTTCTTCGCCTGTCACCCAAGCCTTCCTGCCGAGGTGGGGAGGCGAGGCTCGAGCCCCGCTTCTCCTTATGGTTCTTTCAGCTGCTATTAGGGTTGGGAAGGGACCCCGAGGGTCATCTAGCCCAACCCCACAGCAACGCAGGACTCCCAGGTTCCTGGCAGGCGGCCATCCAACCCTTAAAAACGTCCGAGGAAGGAGGGAACCTGCGTTAAGCGAGTCTCCGTGTTCATGGGTCTTGTAGTCCGTGAAAAGGGGGGGGGGGGACGGGACCTGAAAAGGCGAACCTGACATGGTTTGCTTTCGTTCTTAGAATCAGAGTTGGGAAGGAAGGGGTTCCGAGGGTCATCTAGCCCAACCCCCCTGCAACGCAGAAATCTCAACTCAAGTCGTTCCTGGCAGGTGGCCATCCAACCCTTAAAAACCTCTGAGGAAGTAGGGAACCTGCCTCAAACGAGTCTCCGTGTTCATGGGTCTCGTAGTCCGTGAAAAGGGGGGACGACACGTCAGGCGAACCTGACATGGTTTGCTTTCGTTCTTAGAATCATAGTGTTGGGAAGGAAGGGACCCCAAGGGTCATCTAGCCCAACCCCCAGCAACACTGGAATCTCAAGTCGTTCCTGGCAGGCGGCCATCCAACCCTTGCTTAAAAACCACAGAGGAAGGAGAGAACCAGCGTCAAACAAGGCTCCGTGTTCATAGGTTTCGTAGTCCGTGAAAAGGGGGGGGGACACATCAGGTGAACCTGACATGGTTTGCTTTCGTTCTTAGAATCATAGTTGGGAAGGAAGGGGTCCCGAGGGTCATCTAGCCCAACCCTCTGGGGTCTTTCGCCCAGCGTGGGACTCAAACCCACGACCCTCGTCTCCACGCTTTACCGAGGAATAATAGTAATAAGTGTGTCACTAAGACAGAACAGGCTGCAAGAGAAAGCAAGGTGTGTTGAGAAGAGGGCCAAGGAAGTGTTGTAAATAAAACCCCTCATCTTGGTAGCCTGTAAACGTGTTTTATTAGTCTTTGGTCACTTCTCTTCCTCTCTCAGCCTCTCTTTTCTCCTCCCTGCCTGGTCGCCTTGAGGGAGTTCCTGTTTGTTATAGGTGACTAGGCCAGTAAGTATTCAGAAGTCTGAGATAATAGGGTTTCTCTCAAGTCAAGAGTGGCAAGTCTGTGTGTCTTGATCTCCACCAAAACCACCCATTTTATAAATAAAGGTTATTCTCCAGGTACAACTCAGAGTTGGGTGGTGGTGCAAGTAAGCTTTCCTCTTACGACTTTTCTATTTCATTATGCAAAATTATCCAGAGGTGAACAGTCTACTCAGACTATAAGTACTTTCTGACTCTCCTGCTACTTGGTTTTGCTTGGTTTTTTTTTTGGAGGAGTGAGCACTTGCTCATTTGTCTATATATCTCCATAGGCATTTACTGTACAAGAGTTGAGGCTTAGCTTACAGTAGACAGCTACACATGCTTGAGCTGAAAGTTCGTGAAAAGTAAGTTAGCATTTCCAAGGGGGGTGAAGGTCTAATCTTGTGTCAAGTATCTGTTGTTAGCTATTTGAGGCTCATCCTGGTGGGTTACTGTGGGAAATAGGAGTGTATGGACCTTTGGTCTGATTTAGCAAATCATGAACCCCATGAACTGGGGTTTTCCTGTTTCGTAGCCTGGTCTGCTAGAGCAGTACAGCTGGCAAAGCAGCCAAGTTGGCAGCTGGTATGAAAAGTGTCATCCAGCTGATAGAGATAAAAAGCATTTCTTGCTTCTGTAAAATGCAGTTCTGTGTATGTTTACTCGGAAGTAAACCTCATGCTTCAGTGAAACTTGCTCTGAAGTAAGTACATAAGATAGCCTAAATCTTACACCAATTTGGGAGTGCATCTTATTGATTTCGTGGGACTTCCTTCTGAGTAAACATGCATATGATCAGGGTATAGAATTGGTTAAAATGATGCTTGGTTAAATACGCAGCAGCGGTGCCCTACTGAAGTAATGAATTGTCCGTAAACTGAACAATGATTGCTGACAAGGTGAATTATTAAAATAAAGGAATAAAAGCTCATATATGAAATTTCTTGCTCCAAATCGTTTTTATATTTTATTTGGTGTTTATATATTTTAATTTATTGTTCAAGGTGAGGAAGGGGGCAGGACAGATACTTAAAGAAAGGGCATGAGATGCTGCACGTGATCATGTCAGGATTGCGAAGGGACACAAAGAGCAGAGCTACGAATGTTTTCTGTTTCTTGCATTTTCTTTAAAACCTGCTGTGAAAGCAAAGGAGGTAAAGGTGGAAGCACTGACAGTAACCTGTGGGATTTTTCTGAGACTGTCAGTGTGAAATATGCCATCCATCACACTTCCTACCTTGGACAAGTTATGCAAATATTCAATGTTGGTTCATTATTTGTGGCTACTGTTCACAACAGACTGTCCCAACATGTGCCTTTCTGAAAAATAGCTAGGGCAAAATGGGTGAGCTTTTGGTACTACTTCTTAGATACAGGGCATAGGAGGATGAAATGGATTAAAATGGCACGCCTATAGATTATAGGCATGCATTGAAATTCTTGTGATGAGCATCACTGGGAAATAAAAGCCATGTGAATAAGCTGGGCTGGATCTAGATATGTCAAAGAAGTGAGTCAGTTAAATGCCGTGTAAGCCCATACAGTGGTACCTCGGGTTAAGTACTTAATTTGTTCCAGAGGTCCGTACTTAACCTGAAACTGTTCTTAACCTGAAGCACCACTTTAGTTAATGGGGCCTCCTGCTGCGGCCACGCCGCCGGATCACGATTTCTATTCTCATCCTGAAGCAAAGTTCTTAACCTGAGGTACTATTTCTGGGTTAGCGGAGTCTGTAACCTGAAGCGTATGTAACCTGAAGCATATGTAACCCGAGGTACCACTGTACAGGGAAATCTGATAGGGAAAGACAGGACTCCACAGCGCCATCTGGTGTCACAGTGTTATATCACATATGCAACACATATAAAATACTTTTTCTTTACCAATCTAGCTGAGTCCCTGGAGGACCCAAGAAGCTATGCTAATCAGTCCAAGTGGGGCTGCACCCTCCCGTTTTCAGGCTTACCCTTTCACTTATGCCTTCTTTAGTAATTAGAGGAAATAAGGATCTTTCCCTACATTTTGCAAGCCATATTTTCAGTTCTGCCAACCTTCCCCAACCTAGTTCCCTTTAGAAGTTTAGATATTCTGAACTACAACTGCTGTCATCCCTATAATTTGCTTTGCTGGGTTTTAACTGAATATATTTTGTCTTTTACAATACATTGCAGCTTTAGGTAATATTGTTTTCCTTTATATCCTGAACTGACAAATTATGACTGATAAGAGTCTAAGTATCTTGTTTACTACACGTTGACAGTCTTTTAAAATCTCTTGGTGCAGTGGTCGCTCAGGCCCACTGAGAGTGGTAGGGTGGAAGGCAGGGAGGCCGATCAGTACATGGAGCCGGAGCCAATGACAGGCAGAGCAAATGGATTCCAGGTTTGCCTCCATCATCCTCCCTGCTGAGGTCTATAGGAGCAACAGTTCAGGAGGCAGAAAGCGACAGGCAGTGCCACAAACCTGGTATGGTTGAAAGTAAGAAAGGCAGGCAGATGAGGGTGGACTGAGGTTGGTGCAACAGTGCTCTGCTTGACCTAAATGTGATGAATTGTTTCTGTTTAAACCTCATGGTCAGAGAAAGTTTTACTTCACCAGCTAAATCATTTTCGCTTTTGTCTCTTCTGCAGGAATCAAGTAGTGGAAATGTTTGATCATGCCTATAGTAATTACATGGTGAGTAAAATGATTATATGTACTTTTAAATAATTGCTTCCTTCTACCTTGACTCAGTGTATCGCATATCACGTTAAGCCATAGCTTAAAACAAACTATGATATCTGTGGTTGAGCAGTGTTCTGGTCCATGGTGCTCCAAAGTTCCCACTGTGCTCCTACTGCCGTCGTGACACCGACAAATAATCCAGAGTCAAAACCCATCCTTGTGGCATGTTTGAAGAGAACCACAATTTGCTCTTCACTCACTGCTTGTGGTTTGTTCTGGGGAAATAAAGTACAAGCCTAGGTTCAGATGACACAACAAGTCAGACTTGCAGCCAGCATCTTGCAGCCACATATTGTTTGTTCATATTGAAGCATAGTTTGTTTTACACTATGGTTTAATGTGACGTATGAACCAGGCCATTCTGAGAGAGATACATAAGGTATAAACATATGGTCAATAGGTGATGAATTTCATTATTTTATTTTTTTAGGATTATAATCTTGTGTTCTAATCCTATATGGAAACAAGTTCAGTTGCTGTTAAGTGACAACGAGGATATGGTTGTGGTCCTGCATAGTCTTAATAGGATTTACTTCTGAGTTTTGTCTGTAATGTTGCAACTATAAGTACTTATGTGCCTGATTTAGTTGTTACACTAAACCATGGTTGAGAGAGCATAGTTGTGGTTTGATGTAATGTCTGTATTGACAGACTAGCTAGCAGACTAAAATTGGAAACATGGTTTAAGATGGATCAGCATGTCCTTGCAGTTTGGCATGATGTCTGAATTAAATTGTAGTAGTGACTGTTGCTCCACAGCTGGAAGGAAAATGAACGCAGAGAAACTGCTTTAAACCTTAGTTTGTAAATATTAGGAAGTTCAAGTGATGGACTATGGTTTGCATTAACCATGATTTGGTGTGCTAGCAAAATTCAGCCATAGAATACAACAAATCTGTGAATTTGTCATAGTGTGATTACTGCAGGGTTTTTGTATTTGCTTTCTGACGCCACTTAGATAATAGATCATAGAATCATCTTGTTGGAAGCGATCATGAGGATCATCTAGTCCTGGAATGCAGGAATCCTTTGCCCAATGTGGGGCTTGAACCCACAGCCCTGAAATTAAGAGTCATGCTCTACCAACTGAGCTATCTCTACGGGCAAATTGCACCTGCTTAAATAGCTGTCTCTTGAGAGTTACTTGTACACACCTAAGTCTCACGTCTATTAACTGTTCTATAGTTAATAGATGTGAGAATTGACTAATCTACATAAAACTTATAAAGAATGCCAATAGCAGTTTTTTAAAAACCATTAGGAATGCTATTTTTATCCCCTCAAGATCCTTGTGATGTAGATGATCCTCATTTTACAGGTGAGAACTATGGCAAAGGGAAAACACCTGTTTGCCTAGCTAACAAGGGCAGTTTGATAAGTTATGTTCTGATAAGGTATCCTTATGTTCTGATAACATTTTTACCTTATGTTCTGATAACAAATAGCATGGCACAGGCACCTGGGACTGCAAGCTCTGTGATCTAGCAAGCTCCTGATGAAATCTCACTCATCCCACAAATTCTCCACATGCTAGAACAAGCCACTATTCTTTTTATTACGCCTCTGTTCAGTGAGGGCAATAGTAATCTTCTTACAGGGGTATGGTAAACATTATTGACCCAGTGTGTGAAAAGCACTTGGAGCATGTAGTTAGTTCAAGTGGGCCTCTGCAACAACAAAATGTTGCAGTGATAATTGCTACTGTTCAGGTTTTCAGCCACACCATGTCTGCTGAGCATAGAATGCACACACTGGTGTCCCATCCCAGCTACTTTAAAATCATGGCTCTGTCCTTTTATTTATGTGGATAATTTTCGCTTCTGTTCTTGGGGACACATAAAAATAATTCCTCTGTATAAACCTGAAAGTCACCTCTCTAGACATTTAGATGGTGTTTAGGCTTCATTTTCCAGTCCTTCCTTTCCACTACCCCCTCCAAAAAAACAACAACCCTCTGGTTGTCCAGTTTATGCTCTCAACAGTCAATTTTATGTGGGCACTGATTTTACCAACCATGTTTTTTACTAAATATTTTTGCAAACCTCAGAGTTTCCCTAAATCTGCTGTTACCATCTCCTTGTACATAGTTCACTCCAGTTTGCCAATAAGCAACAGTGGTCAAAGTGCTGAATCAGAATTAGAGTGTGGGATTATTGTTAAGAGGGAGCAATGGAATTCAAATTTACACTGCTTGGTGTGAAATACAAGTGCATATAGCAGCTTATTAATTGTTTGTGGTTGTTGTGTATTGGCTTTATGCTGTCTTGCTTACATGTGCATACTTGTAGACACAGACTGTTTTACTCATGTACAGTTTACATAAATGATGCTCTATGGCTATGTGTTTAGGAATAAAATGCAGTTTTTGAGACAATGGTGCAGATTTAAACCCTAATTGTTAAACAATTCTATGGCCTTTCAAACTGTGTGTTGGAAGGTTGTTGTTTTTGTTTGTTACTATGTTATGTATTTTTGTGTTTTTTTATATTGTAAACTGCTTTGTGATCCTCCAGTGAAGGGTAGTGTAGAAATACAACAAACAAACAAAGTCCGTTGTGCATAAGGTGTTAGGAAATGTCCTTCAGTAGGCTTTAAAACGGAACCTCCCTTGTGGAAGGGAAACACCATAGTGAGCTGGGATTGTACTTTTTGCAGGGAAGCAGTGGCTTTCTGTTCTACATTTGTAGCATGAAATGTTTGGGTTATGTGACAGCATGACTTGGCATATCCTGGAAGCTTTCAAGTCAAAAGGATATGTATTTGCCACGTATACTAGGGTATTAAATAAACAAATTGTATTTCTTGTGTTTGCGAACCTGGCAAGCAAGATTATGGTTTTGTACTTTATCAGATGGTATGATAGTGACATGTTCTGCAGGCTGCCATAACGTGCTGGTTTTTACTGCTGCTTTAATTTTGTTTTGTTTTGGAGGTATATCTGCTACATAGCAAAATATAACCGATGTTCCCATTATTAAACACAGTATATAACAGGAAGCTTTCTGCCTGTAGTTAACAGTGCAATTCCATACGTGTCTAGTTGAATATATGTTTCACTGAGTTCTATGGGGTTAGGATTGCAGCCTAAAAATAGCTGTTTTCCATTGGGGTTTTATAAAGAATTGCACAGGGCTCGTAACCTTGCACCAATGTTGAATTTTCCACACTTCTATGGGGTGATGCTAAGGAGGTGCAAATGCTCCTATTTGCTTCCAAAGAAATATGAAATGAGATACAAACCTGGAGATCTCATCGTCATTATCTGGATTATTTGAAGAACTTCATTGTTAATACAGTGGCCATAGCTTAAGCAACTTATATTTTGTATTCAATACACATATACTTGCATATGTTTATATGTGTATGTTTCAGTAATTGCGTCCGTTTTGTTGTTCCCTAACCACCAATGTACCCCAAATTTCAGCATACTCTTTGCACTTTTTTGCATTAAACAGGAACATGCCTACCCAGCCGACGAGCTCATGCCTTTAACTTGCCGTGGAAGAGTTCGTGGTCAAGAACCAAGTCGTGGAGATGTGGATGATGCCTTGGGAAAGTTAGTACTTTGAAATAATTCTAGTTATGTGAAACAGCTAAATCTTGTTTCAGGTGCTGTAGAAACACAGCCCCACGTGCCTTATAAAGAAAAACACAGGCAAATGCATTCATTTCCACAGTCTTTGGATATAATAATGTGGAAATAACCCCTGGACCCCGGCACTTTATGGAATCTTCATTGGGAAGTGGGCCCTGCCCATGCAGTCCTTTTTTGCCAGAAAAGATTTCATAAGCAGGATCTATTTGGGAAGGCTTTTGTTCATACAAGCTCTAGCTTACACTAAGGGTTTTATGGAAGGTAGAGCAAAGTTCTCCTCCCATGCCACACAGCTTGCGAAGTTTGTATTGCGGAGCCATAAGTCAATGCCACTCCCTCCTTCCATCTAGCTATATTGCTTCATGGCTGGAGTAAGTTGGAGTTGGTTACTTCCTTTATGGTCTAAACCACTGAGCCTTTTGGGCTTGCCATTCAGAAGGTCAGCAGTTTGAATCCCTGCGACGGAGTGAGCTCCCATTGCTCTGTCCCAGCTCCTGCCAACCTAGCAGTTTGAAAGCACACCAGTGCAAGCAGATAAATAGGTACTGCTGTGGCGGGAAGGTAAACGGCATTCCCGTGCACTCTGGTTTCCGTCACGGTGTTCCGTTGCGCCAGAAGCGGTTTAGTCCTGCTGGCCACCTGACCTGGAAAGCTGTCTGTGGACAAACGCCGGCTCCCTCGGCATGAAAGCGAGATGAATGCTGCAACCCTAGCCTTTGACTGGACTTAACCATCCAGGGGTCCTTTACCTTTTTACCTTACTTCCTTTGTAGTACAGTCATAGCTCGGGTTGAAGTAGCTTTGGGGTAAGTATTTTTGGGTTGTGTGCGGCGACCCAGAAGTAACGGAGCGCATTACTTCCGGGTTTTGTCACTCATGCATGCGCAGACGGTCAAAATGACATCACGCGCATGCGCAGAAGTGGTGAATCGCGACCTGCACACACGGGTTGCGTTCACTTCTGGATGCGAATGGGGCTCTAGAACAGATCCCATTCTCATCCAGAGGTACCACTGTACTTATTTGGATAAAATTCCATACACCAAATATGTAGTAAACATATTTTTGGCCTAAAAAGTGGATACTGAAAATCGTGGAGTTCTGACACCTGTGGCAGCATTTGTCTGGGAGTGGGCAGGTACCAATGTGTAATGGCCTTGAAACTACACAGAAAACACAATAATTGCAGACAGCATCTTGTTTCACTAGGTGTGAGGACTGTGAAGAGAGCGCTAGTTTTGTTCCTCCTGCGCACTCAAAACATGCACAATGAAGTTCTGGCTCCTTAGGACCGGAACTTCTCCATTCAAACTGATGTCTTCTTTGTTAGTAATAACGTGTCATACTGTTTTTTGGATGTTTTGCTGTCGCTACAGATGAAGTGTACTGGGTTCTAATGTGTTCTTGTGCTTGCTTCTCCCCCCACTCAGGTTTTCACTGACACTGATTGATACTTTGGACACTCTTGTGGTAAGTTGGGTCTGAATGTTATACTTGCACTTCCATTTTTTGGAAGTAAATTATTTGGTGGGTGGGTGGGTGGGTGGGTGTGTAACCTATGGTTTAAGTCTACTTTAATCAGATGGCTTTAGAGACCTTTATTATTATGAAGAAAAACGGTTTCCGCATTGTATTGCAAATAAAAAGTGGTTCCCTGATAGTCTCAGACTTAGGACCAGCCTTGGAGAATACAAGAGTATTTCTTAATACTGTGAGACCCGACCAGCCTGCTTGCTCTATATCGCATTCTCCTCTTCCATACCAGGAACTCTTTTGAACTTATCCCTCTCCTGTCAACTTGTACTTGATCTCTTCCTGCTTGCATCACCTCCTTGCTTCTTTTGCACATTCTATTTCTTTTTGCCCTCACAGACTTGGATGACTCAGGAGGAACTGTGGGTGCTTTTGAAATAAGTGTGGTTAATTTCCCTTGTCCCTACACCCACCTTGCAATTCAGCCCACACTTAACTGCAACATTACAAAACTTCTGAAAGTGGGTTTAGCAGTGAGTGGCATGGTAAATATGAATGGAGCTGCCAGCTCAGTCTGTGGAATATATCAGATGATGAATTGATCATGTGCCTAACATCCACATTCCTGATATGTTTATTTAGCCACAGTTGACCTCTGGAGGTAAGGTTCAGTTTCCCACGAGTACAGTTTCCCCAGATCCAAGCGATCTTACAGGTCTTGTGTAATATACTGGAAGTTTGAAACCTGCCAAAAAGTCAATTGTCCGGTTTGGGAGGATATCTGTAATTACCTCCTCATTAATAAGTTTCACAGCAAGGAGGGTCAAATTGTTTACAGCTAATTTTTGTTTTGCAGGTGTTAAATAAAACCAAAGAGTTTGAAGAGGCTGTCAAAAAAGTGATCAGAGATGTTAATTTAGACAACGACATTGTAGTATCAGTGTTTGAAACTAACATAAGAGTCCTTGGGTAAGTTTGATGCCAGAGGAAAATAAACCACATTTCAGTTTGTCGGGTTCTGGTACTTTCTGTGCTGCTTTTTAGCCTGTTCCATAAGTGTTTAAGGAATATGCCTGTTCCATAAGTGTTTAAGAATAATAAATGTGGTGCACCTGTTACCTTTAGAAACATGCAGCAAAAGTTTTAGTTCTAGCTTTTCCTGCATTCATCTCCACTTAGCTGCAACCTTGCATGCTCAAATCCTTAGAAGTGTCCTTTGGTGAAAGTTTGATAGCTGAAATAATATATACCGTGGGCATTTCCCCATACTTGTGGGAAATATTTGCATAAGGAGTAGATAAATTAAAGACCTAAAAGCTGAGATGGCCTAAGATTTGGATGGCTTTAAAGTGGGATTAGACAGATTCACGTGGGATAAAACTAGCAATGGATAAATGTTGCCTCTATGCCCAGAAGCAACAGCCCTCTGAATGCAAGTTGCTCGAGCACGACAGCGAGAGAGAGCTTTTGCCCTTCTGTCCTGCTTTCTTACAGACGCCTTCTTGGTTACTGTAGGAAACCAGATCCTGGAATAATCTAGGCTTTTAGTCTAACCTGGCAGAGCTCTTCTTAAGTTCTCAGGAAGCTACATTCTGTACTGCATATTTTGCAGGATTTCTACATTCCAGTGGAATGGCAGGTACCTCTGGTTGCAGACGGGATCCGTTCCAGAGGTCTGGCCGGATCCCGAGGTTTTCGCAACTGGAGAGACCACTTCTGCTCTCTTATGTGCGGCAGTGGAGCGCTTCTGCGCATGTGTGCGCAGCAAAAACCCGGAAAACACTTCCAGGTTTGCTGCTTACGTATCCTGAAGTTTACGTAACCGGAGGGATACGTAAGCAGAGGTGCGACTGCATATACATAGCCCCATTTTAAACATCTTCTCCAGAAGTGAAGAGAATTTAGATCTGTTGACTTTATTCTCTGCTACTCAGCTTACATACATTTGGAACTGATACAGATCGTGTTGTGTAATGGTTAGGGTGTTGGTTTATGAGCTAGGAGACTGGGGTTTAAAACCCCACTCAGCCACGAAGTTCACTGGTTGATCTTGGGTCAATCACTGTCTCTCAGCCTACTCTACCTCACAGGGTTGTACTGAAGATAAAACGGGGGTGGGCAACTGTGTATACCACCTTGAGCTCCTGGAAGGGAATGGGAAATGTAATAAATATGTGAAATAAATGTGCTAACCACAGTTTAAGGAAGCGGTTTGCAGGGAGATGTAACCCATCCTCCCCACCCTGCTGTTCTGCTCTGCTACAGTGATGTCTGGGGTCAGTGTCAGCCCCAGTTAAGAAAGTGCTAACGCTTGAACGTTTCTCACCAGCCCTTAAGCAATACCATGTTTGAGCTCGGTATTTTTATGTGCTGAATTTTATTGTTGTCCTTTCTGTGTACTTAGAGGTCTTTTAGGTGGGCACTCAGTAGCAATCATGCTGAAAGAGAAGGGCGAAGACATGCAATGGTACAACGGAGAACTTCTGCACATGGCAAAACAGTTGGGCTACAAGCTTTTGCCAGCTTTTAACACCACCAGCGGTCTTCCATATCCACGAGTAAGTATATAATGTATTGTGAGGGCAGTTGATAATTTTGTTTCTTGTTGCTTTAGATATAAATTCTCATAGAATCCTAGAGTTGTAGTGTTGAAAGGGACCACAAGGGTCATTTAGTCCAATCCTCTGCAATGCAGGAATCTTTGGCCCAATGTGGGATTTGAACCCACAACCCTAAGAGTAAGAGTCTCACACTCTACTGGCTGAACTATCCCATGGTATATTTTCATATCTCTTGATTGCAAGATGTAAATCTGTTAAAAAGCATACGATACCAGTTAATCCTGTTTGTAGCTTATTTCGTATTTAAAACAATTGCCACCATTTCTCTCCTGTGCCCTTTAATTTTCAAGTTCTCTGTTCCAAGCACGCTGTATGCTTGAAAGTCAGGAATACTGCCAGAGTTTACTGTGAACTCGCTGTTCTCTCCACTCTAAATGGCAAGCTGTTCTTGAACTCAAAGCACCAGAGATTTCGGTGTTGGGAACTGCTGCCGCAAACTTCAGAAACGATTATAGCTACATGCAGGTGGCAGCAGCGTCCGGGTGTAAATCGGCAAAATGTCTGGGAAAATATGGATGTATGGCAACCCATGTTGTCAGTGTTGTTTTTGCTGATTTTCCGTAAAAATAGCTCAAAAAAGGTCAACAATTTTGCCCCCCCCCCCAAGCAAGCTCCACAACTGTCTTGTCCAGATTTTCACTGTTTGAAATATGGCAACCCTAAGTTATGGCCATAGTCTATAGGTGGTGAGCTACAGACAGAGTATATATAGGTGGTGAACCAGACAGAGGGCCTTCTCGGTAGTGGCGCCCACCCTGTGGAACACCCTCCCTTCAGATGTGAAGGAAATAAGTAGCTATCCTATCTTTAAAAGACACCTGAAGGCAGCCCTGTTCAGGGAAGTTTTTAATATTTAACACTGTATTGTTTTTAATACTTGATTGGGAGCCGCCAATAATAATAATAATAATAATAATAATAATAATATAATAATAATTATTATTATTATTATTACATGCTTAGCCATGAAAGTTGCTTTAAAATAGTCATCTGGAAGTGTGCTGTACCATTCATATTTTGGTCTAGATGACATAAAATATGTGCAAGCATTCTCATGTCTAAAGCCTAACGCACTTTTACACGATGCCAACAAATATAAATGTTTTGAACGTTGCACTTTTGTGTTTGTCAAGATGTCTTGGTCCATATTGTCAGGTAATGGAAACCTTAAGGTTTAATGTTAACTTTGGTAGTTTGTATAAAGTCAGTTTGTGTATGTATGGCACCAAATTCTGGCATTTGTCTGAAAGCCAGCTTACCATCTGTTCCTGGTGCCTCGGGTACTTTGCTTTTAAACTCTATCCAGAACTGAAGGAACGTGTTTTTCTTGCAGTTTTCATAAGTTGTGTTTTATCTGTCAATGATTGCTTAATTTAATACTGTAGCAGTAAACGGTTTTGGTGCCTTTTCTTCTAGGTTAACTTAAAATTTGGTGTAAGGAGTCCAGAAGCTCGAACAGGAACAGAGACTGACACTTGTACGGCTTGTGCAGGTACCTTGATCTTGGAGTTTGCTGCTCTGAGCCGCTTCACAGGAGCATCAATATTTGAGGTTTGAATACGGGTTATAATTCATCATTCCTTGTTTAATTTATAACTTCTGTTAGTGTGGTTTTTTATAGCATTTCTATTGCTGAATTGGTAACTAAATCTGTGATATAGGAGTTTAGTAAATGGTTTCTCTGTCTATTTGGAGGCTTTGTGATAAATATTCCAGAAATTCTGTACTTGGATTGCTCTGTAATGTATATTTTCTTCTAAGTGTCTTGTTTGTTGCACTCTAATCAGTATTGTAAACATCTTGGCATAAACTCGATGGTATCAGCAGCAGTTTATTGTTAAACCTTTGTATACCATAAGCTGCTATTTATTGGCATGTGTTTGTATTTATGGTGTGCATTGCACTTGCATCAAGGAAGAAACCAATTTTTTTCCCTCTTATGGTGTGCTGATTATGTTGATATTGATTCCGAACAGTAGCAACCCCAATATTCCTGTAGCTTTGCTCTACTGTACCAAAATAGAGTGAATGCTGGACCAAAAATCCCCAGTTCAGATTTCTCCTAAATAATATACCCAAATTGCCTTAAGCTATTCAGTCTCTCTCTTCCCCCTCCCCCTTACATTGTTAATAACTTTGCTTGTGAAATTGTTTGCTATCTATTACTATCTGGATATTATGTGAGGCTTAGGGCGGTCTTGTAATTTGCCAATTTTCTAGTTGCTTGTGACAGTAGCAATTTACACAGGGTAGCATCTAAAGGCTGTGCATTTGGCACTTTGGTGATTTCCTTCCAGTCTTAAAGAATGACTGGTTCTTAAACTGGAAGGGCTGCCGTTCCAGCTGATGGATAGAATCTCCATTGACATATGTGGAATCAGGGATGAATAGCCATTACTGGCAGCAAAGAGTGGAATAATTGTGAAAGCAGAGAATTGCTTTTGGGTGATTAACACTGATTATGTTAATCTATGCCAAGTCGGCAAATCTTTTCAGCAGGGGGCCGGTCCACTGTCCCTCAGACCTTGTGGGGGGCCAGACTATATTTTGAAAAAAATAATTCCTATGCCCCACAAATAACCCAGAGATGCATTTTGAATAAAAGGACACATTCTACTCATGTAAAAACACGCTGATTCCCAGACAGTCTGTGGGCCGGATTTAGAAGGCGATTGGGCTGGATCCGGCCCCTGGGCCTTAGTTTGCCTACCCATGATCTATGCTCTCCATAGACTCATTGGAATCAGTTGGTAAATTACCTAATTCCATGATATCAGTGGATCTAACTTACTCCTTTGTACCTTAATTTAGCTATGCAAAATACTTCAAAACTCTTTAATTATAAATATGGAATGAATTGATGCACCAGTTGTTTGCATCAGATTTTTTTTTCATTTTCACTATTGTATTTAAACAGCATTTAACTGGAAATGTTGACTTTGTTTGCTGCAGGAATATGCACGGAAGGCACTTGATTTTCTTTGGGAGAAAAGGCAACGCAGCAGCAACTTGGTGGGAGTCACAATTAATATTCATACGGGCGATTGGGTGCGCAAAGGTATGGCACTTTGCAACTGTGTGCCCTTGTGGCTCATGCAGAAATGGGAATTTGCAAAGCACATATGCAGTATTGGACCTCTTTCATGCTGGGGAGGTCTGTATGCTTGACCCTGACATGAGAGACCTAGGATTTGTCAGGCTGCAACCTAATGAATGAGTGGTTAACCTTTTAAATGTATGGGCTATAAATAAGATGAGCTGTTTGTGGCTGCTCCCCTTAGTCTTATTTGGTTCAACCATCTTTACCTAAAGAAGGGCAAACACTCCTGCAAGTAGAAGAGCAAATAAAAGGAATTGTGTCTTCACATTGATAGAAGCGTTTTATGCAGATGAACAGAATGCTAGAAAAGCATTTCCTTAAACTACACTGTGGCCTGGATCAGGCCTGCGAAGCTGTGTGAAGGGGACTGCCAGTCCCCATCTTCTTCCCTGTCGGAGTGCTGGCCGCCTTCTCCACACCCAGCAATGGTGGGGAAATAGTCCCACTGCAGCCCTGGAGAGGGCTAAACCTTTTCTCTCGGTCCAGCACAGTGATGGGAATGAATGTGGGGTGTGAATGAATGAACAAATGAATGAATGTGTTGTATTCATGGCTGTGCATGTGTGGTAGAACCAGGGCAGAACTATTTTAGCTGCACCTACCTGTGTGTAGCCCTTGAAGAGCTAGCAAGCTGGAAGGTGACCATCAGGGTGGCAAAGACTACCCACCCCTGATCCATGTGGATTTTAAGAAATAAAACAGAAAATATTGTATTGTGCTGAGTGCAGCTTCTCACAGTTTCTTTGTTTGTTTCTTGTCTGCTCTTAACAGGGACTTCTTTCGCAGGAATGAAAACTAGTTGTAAGGTCAATCTTAAATATATAACAGGTTTTTCATCTTTTCCCTAGATAGTGGTGTTGGAGCAGGTATAGATTCATATTACGAATATTTATTAAAGGCTTACGTCTTGCTTGGAGATGACAGTTTTCTGGAAAGATTTAACACGGTAAGTCTCTTGCATGAGACTCAGGGGTTGTGCATTTCACTGGTCAGTGTATCTGCTTGCCATAAAAGTCCATCTGGCTCCAGACATGAATCAATCTACAGGAAGGGCTTGTAAAAGGATTCCCCTTGAATTTAATTGAGTATCCCTATTCAAAGTGGCTTAGTAGTGAAATATTGGCTACATTTGTGAGTTGGAAATGTAAATTTTATAAACAAACACGATGCTGAGGAGATTTCACCCCTCCCATATCCAAGAATCTGCTGATGTTCTCTGCTGATTCTCCAGAGAGGAGGGGGCGGTTTCTGCTCTCTACTTAATTCCGCTCCAGCCTCACATCAAAGAGAGAGAGAGACTGAGTGTTAGAGAGATCGTGTGTATAGATAAGGTTGCTGCTAAGAGCAGCTGCAGACACTCAGTGCAGTTCAGCATTTTCGCTTAGACCTCATTTAGCTCTGTACATAGTTGTGTATTATAGTTGTAGATAGAATAAAAGTAGTTATTCTACAGAGCTGCTCTCTGAGTCGTTTATGTTCTGCTATACTCTGTTGTACTCTGCTGTGCAACGACTGTCTTGTTGGAGTGAATCCGGTTCTCACAACTCTAAGCTGTGAGTCCACAGCACTTTGACCTGTTCCTGTGCAGAAGGTGGTCTCTGGAAGTGCTACCCAGCTCGCCTAGCCCAGTCGGGGCTGAAGTGTATGAGTCCAGTTAGTGGCACTGGCTCAAGGGCGATGCTGACAGATGCAATATATTTGCGAAACATGAAGACTGGACTGTGTTGCTTTTTATTAAAGCTAATCTCTCTGGGTAAAACGCTTTTCAGGTGAAAGGCTGCTAGCCTCCTTACATGAACTCTTGATGCATCAACTTTAAAATACTTAAACAAATTCCAGCATCAGATGTATAGCTTAAATCTGGATGTCACCCTGACTAAAAGATTGAGGGAATTTACTGAGCAGCGATGTGCTAAAGGCAGAGCAGCTTATGTGTCACAATCCGGCTCAAACACGAAGGGAGGGTAAAACAATTAATCTGTGTGATATTTAGCAATTTGGTTATATGGCAGGGCTGTGGGAGCTCAAGCTTTAAATCATTCAAAGAGGAACAAGAAATTCCTGGAATGACACCCCTCCCCTCCAGCCTTCCTGCCTGTTTAATTTCATTTAACGAATGCACTTCACTAAAATTATCCAACGTTAAGCCAAGCGTGGCAGAAATTTCACCCCTTGCTGTTGCGGCCAGTTGCCCGAGTCCTTCCCACCCTCGTTTCTCAGCTGGACTCTTGTTGATTAGGACTTACTCTCCTGTTAATTCTCTTGTGCGGTTCGGTGTCCTCTCAGCTGTTTTGCATGACGTTAAGGAGAGGCGAGTGCAACATACAATTTAGTGTGTTTAGATCTTAACTTTGCAAATGAATTTGGTATGAAAAATGAATGTGGGCTCACCAGGGTCTGATGTTTTGCAGCATTATGATGCCATAATGAGATACATTAGCCAACCGCCTCTCCTGCTTGATGTGCACATACACAAACCAATGCTTAATGCTCGGACCTGGATGGACTCTCTACTAGCCTTTTTCCCTGGTTTGCAGGTAGGTTTATCAGAGGTGCAGAAGCATTTAACTTTTCAGTCCAATGATGACTATTTAGTTGTGGGGTTGAGCGTGAGAAGTATTTGTTTTCAAAGCTCTAGAAATGTTCAGGACGCTGTAATTGAAAAAAATAGCAAAGAATGGTTGGAGTAAGCTTTTGAACTTGAAATATGATGTCGTGGAAAAGTAGTCATCCGGTGGGGAAGAATAATATTTTACAATTGCTGTCTTCAGCCGTGTTAGCATTGTGCAGTCAAAACTTGGTGGCTGTGTTCTGCAAACAAAATCAGATTTTTGTAAAATTAAATTTCCACTAACTTGGAGCATATCTTTCTCATTTCTATATTATATAAAGCATATCAAACATCTAAAATAGGCTCATAGTATCGTTAGAGCAATAGCTCTAATGGTTTTGTCATGGCCTTTGGTACAATAATGCTTACTTACTAATAGCCCAATAAATGCCCTACTGTCACATTTTTAAGGAGTTTTGTTGATATTTTGTTATACATCCTTAAATTCTTTCTTTTGTGTTATTAGCTGCTACTTCCTTCTCTTGCCTCTAATACACAGTGTTCCAAAATTATTTTTTTCTTGACTAGAATATTCTCTCAGTATTTCGATCTTTATTGGTAAATCTTCCTTTCCTTTCCTCTATAAACGGAAGCTTCTAAATTTGGTCCGGCTTATGGTACTCAAGACAAATAAACAGCCTTAAACAAGCCTTACTTTTTTGTGTTTTGCTGGTCTGCAGCAGCCATTTTGCCAAAAACCATGGTGAGAGGGGGAAGAGGAAGGAGAGATTGCACAAACAAGAGAGCACATTTATCTTCCTTATTTGCCTTTTGCAAGGTTTCAGAGAATTTTCAGAGAATTTTCCTGTCCCCACCCCCATCATTTTGGAGTAGAAATTTCTGTGGCTGGGAATGCATTAGGAATATCATTACATAAGCATTGTTTAATTCACAGGTTCCTCTATACCACATGAGTACTCTTGGAAATACTTGGAGTACTCTTGGCATCTCAGATTTCCAGAAAGCAACTTTATCAAAGCAGTACCTGAATTTGAGCTGATAACTTTAACGCTCAGAATATAAACATATGGCCAACCTGACATACCAAACTAAATATATGTTAAGCACTGGTTTCAGCACATGTGTACACATGATTATTTTGCCTTTTGCTTAATTAACCAAGTGCCATTCTGCTCTCTCGTGTTTCCTTGTAAGAAAAAGAAAGAACCATGGGCTCGGGGCCAGGTGGTGGGAGATACAGAATTGGTCATTATCTGACAGGAAAGTGGCATATCTAAATGGCCTTACATTGGTACTATCTGTTTGGATTATAGGTCTTGAAAGGTGATATCAGACCAGCTATAGAAACTCATGAGATGCTGTATCAGGTGATAAAAAAGCATAACTTTCTTCCAGAGGTAAGGTGGTAGGCTTATATTATTATCATTGTGGGGATAATAATAATAATACCGGGAAAGGGGAGATGTTGATTTCTAATTACAGTGGTGCCCCGCAAGACAAATGCCTCGCAAGACGAAAAACTCGCTAGACGAAAGGGTTTTCCGTTTTTTGAGTTGTTCCGCAAGACGAATTTCCCTATGGGCTTGCTTCGCAAGACGAAACGTCTTGCGAGTTCTTGCGAGTTTGTTTCCTTTTTCTTAAAGCCGCTAAGCCGTTAATAGCCGCTAAGCCATTAATAGCCGCTAAGCCGCTAATAGCCGTGCTTCGCAAGACGAAAAAACCGCAAGACGAAGAGACCCGCGGAACAGATTAATTTCGTCTTGCGAGGCACCACTGTACTGATTAGTCATTCATGCGCTAATCAGCATCCCTTTGCATATTTTGATCTTATTTTTTTAACTTTCTGTTCCTCCTGTAGGAACTGGAGGCTAGTGCATTTCTTGCTCATATGATTGACCAAGATCTTTCCATGCATCACTAGATCTGCCTGCAATTCCTTTTTTCATGTTTGTGCTCACTTGTTCACACAATGGTTGCACATGAATGGGGAGAGACTGGTTTAGTGTCTCATCCGAACCAGTGCTCCTGGTTCTTTCCAAACAAAATGCAGCGAGGAAGCCAGGGTTTGGCTAATGTGTCAGTGTGACAGTGATTCAAACGTGTCAGGACGACAGTGATTCAAACCATTTTATCCACTACATCACACTCATACCGTGAAAAGCTTTGCCATATGTGCACAACTCATTTACTTTCGAATCTAGTTTTATGAGTGGTATCCAACTAAGTCATATTGAGTATTTCCTTTGAAATCATTGGACATATCTAAAGTCCATCAGTTTTAGTAGATCTACTCTGAATAGGACTAATTGGACGCTATCCTATATCTTGGTCTCTTTCCTTTCCCTGTATCTGAGATTATGCGACCCAGTGGATAATGTCAGACGAGAGCCTGAGAGACCTTTGCCTAGCATAGAGTTGTCATGTTTGAGTGAACTTTGCAAACTTCTCTTGATAGCTAATCTGTAACAGGGGAATAATAAAATAGCACTTAACATATTGGGAATGCTATTTTCATCCACACAAAATCCTTGTGATGTAGATGATTACTCCTCATTTTACAGGTGAGGACTACCGCAAAGGAAAACACCTGCCTGCCTGGCTAACAGGGACAGTTTGATAAGTTTTTAGGCACCAGGCAGAATGTTTCTTTTTTACCAAGTCTTTGGCCGATTAACATCTCTGTCCTTTTAAATGTGGGTGTGGGTGGGGTTATTGCTTTTGTTCTGTTCTTGCTTTTATTACGTATTTTGTGTTCTCATTTTGTATTTTTATATTGTGAACCGCCCTGCAATCTTCGGATGAAGGTGTGGTATACTAATAATAAAAATAAAATAATAATAATAGCATTTGTGACCAAAGTACTGTACAGTTTAGTATTTCCCTATGTCTTTCTTCTTTTTTCCTTCAGGCTTTCACAACAGACTTCCGGGTTCATTGGGCTCAACATCCTTTAAGGCCAGAATTTGCAGAGAGTACCTATTTCTTGTATAAAGTAAGATTTCGTTCTTCTAATTCAAGGTGTCTTAAATCCTTGATAATCTTAGGAAAGGAATTGAAAATGTTAACACCTTTTTATGGCACTGTGATGCAGTTGCACTAAAATACTTTGTACTGAAGTGGCTGCTTTATCTCAAGAAGAATATTACAGGCACAGATAAGGTACAGAAAGAGGAATCTATAGTGATTAAGTATATGCAGCGACTTCTCCATAAAGAAAGACTAAAGAGAATTAGGTTTGTTAGCTTAGAATGAATGAATGAATTAACTGGGGCTTGGGGGCAGGATATGAAAGTATTTCAAAATCATGAATAGTGGGAAGAGATTTTTCTCTTTCACTTGCTCTGAAATTATGCCAGCAGGTACTACTTCACACAGCCTCTAACCTTAGATGGCTTTGAAAAAGGAGGCCTATTGATGATTATGAACTGGGATAGCTAAGTCCAGCTTCCAAACTGAAAGGTAATATAAGTAGGATTGTTACCAGATGCTTAGGGCAAGCAGCAGAGAATGGTAATTTCCATTTATACTTCCTCCCTGGGCTTCTGATTTGTCCCTGTTTGTGGTGCGGGTTGGCTGTCCTTCTGGTCTCAGAGGGTTGACACCTTCTTATGCATGGTCAAGAACAATACTTATGCAGAGCAAGTATTTTTAACAATAAGATGAGCTTGAGACTTTCTGACTTGTTGCGCAAGATAAAGGAGCTTTCTATTGAGGCTGGGAAGCCCCTTGAATTGCTGACTGCAAACAGTTTCTCAGCTCTGTTCTCCCTCTGAGAATATTCTTCTGTCCAGGCTAGGATGTATTTAGCAGTGCAGTTTGACTTTAAATCCAAGGCTTTAAAATGTGTGCAGAAGTCAAATATCAAAGTATAATAACAGATAAGAATGTAATGTGTGTATAGCGTATTTCTAGGAGTAAGTGCAAAATTTTTTCCTTTAAAACAGGCTACTGGAGATCCTTACTACCTAGAAGTAGGAAAAACACTAATTGAAAACTTAAATAAATATGCTCGTGTACCTTGTGGATTTGCTGCTATGAAGGATGTTCGTACTGGAAGCCATGAAGACAGGTAATTAGCTGAAAAGTGTTGCTAGGTTTTGCTAATTTAATCTTGCAACCATGCATTCATGCTGGTAGGATTTCTTTGTACATTAAATCTTCTCTGGCTTAATACTTTAGTAAAAGTTAACAAGTGCTTCATGATTTTTATTTTATTAAGATATATATATATATATATATATATATATATATATATATATATGAGTGGATCCTCCTCAAGGCAACTAACTTAAGTATTTAACTTGTTAATGTATTTAACAATAGAAATTTAAATAGCATGAAAACAAGGGCTTAGATCCAAACAACCACAGGTGGGAGAATAGTGCCGTTCCGTAAACTTGTGCAACCCTAACGGAAGACGAATTGCAGGCATGGTGAACTTCCTGCCTCATAATAATGTCAGGTGATCCCACCCACCTGACAAAATTGCTGTCTAGGAAGTTAGGATCTGGCCCACTAGCTAGAAGAAGTTTTCCACTCCTGTTGTGGCATACCGTATTTTTCCCTCTATAACACGCAGATTTTTTCTCCTAAAAAGGAAGGGGAAATGTCTGTGCGTGTTATGGAGCGAATGTGTGGTCCCTGGAGCCAAAAAATCAAGCAAAAGTCAAATCGCTCTTCACGGAGAAGGGAAACCTGAAAAGAGGAAGTGGCAGCTTTCCTGTATTCTGCCTCAGGGTCTTACTGCCCACCCTCCTCTGTTTCGTTGCTGTGATTGCTGAAACGGAACAAAGAGCAGGGAAAGCCCCTCCCCTCCAGGCAAGCAGAGGGGAAAGTGTCGTCTCTGTGCTCCGGTACTGCTGGGGGAGAGGGAGAGAGAGGGGGGAAGGGAGAGGGGGGGGAGGGAGAGGGAGAGAGAGAGAGAGAGAGAGAGAGAGAGAGAGAGAGAGATATGGCTGGTTTGGGGGGGGAACTTTTGCCTCCCACCCGTTAAATCCCTCTCCAGCATTCTTAGCCAGCTGCTTCTCTGCACACCCCTCTCATGTCCCTTCTTTGTTTTTCCTTCGCTCCCCACTTAAAATGTGGTTACAAAGCATAGATCAACATGGATCCTCAGGATCTTTGCATTGGGTCACCCCAAATTCACCATCAGATCACATAGCATGTCCATGGCTACAGCCTGCACCAAAAAAATCACGCACCCACTGTTGCCTGGGGCTGCAATGGTGCAAACACGTGGTTAAAAAGCATGGATCCACATGGATCCTCAGGATCTTTGCATTGGGTCACCCCAAATTCACCATCAGATCACATAGCATGTCCATGGCTACAGCCTACACCAAAAAAATCACGCACCCACTGTTGCCTGGGGCTGCAATGGTGCAAAAACGTGGTTAAAAAGCATGGATCCACATGGATCCTCAGGATCTTTGCATTGGGTCACCCCAAATTCACCATCAGATCACATGTCTGTGGCCACAGCATGAAGCACAAAAATGATACATCCACTGTTTCATTCAGAATGTTTTTTCCCTTGTTTTCCTCCTCTAAAAACGATGTGCGTGTTATGGTCAGGTGCGTGTTATAGAGCGAAAAATACGGTAATTGGGAGGGGAAATCAAAAGATCTTTAAGCTTGTAGAAGCAGAAGAAGTTGGGGTCACTTTTCTCACAGCAGAAACAGCCCTTCTATGAACAGAAATAGCTGTCTGCCGGTGAAAAGGCACTTTTGGGGGAGTCCAAGCCCTCATCTGGGACGCGGGTGGCGCTGTGGGTAAAACCGCAGCGCCTAGGACTTGCCGATCACATGGTCGGCGGTTCGAATCCCCACGGCGGGGTGCGCTCCCGTCGTTCGGTCCCAGCGCCTGCCAACCTAGCAGTTCGAAAGCACTCCCGGGTGCAAGTAGATAAATAGGGACCGCTTACCAGCGGGAAGGTAAACGGCGTTCCGTGTGCTGCGCTGGCTCGCCAGATGCAGCTTGTCACGCTGGCCACGTGACCCGGAAGTGTCTGCGGACAGCGCTGGCTCCCGGCCTCTAGAGTGAGATGAGCGCACAACCCTAGAGTCTGTCAAGACTGGCCCGTACGGGCAGGGGTACCTTTACGTTTTTAAGCCCTCATCAGAAGCAGAAAATAAGGTGACAACATCAAAACAGCACACAAATAATTCAAGGCACAGCCAAACTGGACTGTCTGGACTGAGTTGCTGTGAAATGTCAATAAGGAGGCGGTCAGACTAGGCCGTTGGAGGAAGAAGTTCTGACACTAGGTGCCGCATCTGAGAAGGCCCTTAAGATGCTGGCGCAGAGCAGGATTTCTATCAGTGACCCAAGTGGGTGGGCAGGATCATGTGAAATTAAGCAATCCTTTATGTGAAATTCTTGCTATTTAGTCTTTATCCATGTATGCGTTCTTTGGAAAAACTTAGCGAAGTTCTTCCCATTAGTTGTCATTTTGACTTTACTCAAAAGTATATCTTGTTTTTCATTTTGTTGTTAGTGATACAGTCGTACCTTGGTTTTCGAACAGCTTAGTTCTCGAACGTTTTGGCTCCCGAATGCAGCAAACCCGGAAGTGAGTGTTCCGGTTTGTGAACTGTTTTTGGAAGCCGAACGTCCGATGGGGCTTCCGATTGGCTGCAGGAGCTTCCTGCAGCCAGTCAGAAGCCGTGCTTTGGTTTCCAAACGCTTTGGAAGTTGAACGGACTTCCGGAATGGATTCCAAGGTACGACTGTGTATCAAGAAGGAAAAATGATACTTAGTCTATTTATTTCCTCTTTCTAGGATGGATTCTTTCTTCCTGGCTGAAATGTTTAAATATTTATACCTGCTCTTTGCTGATAAGGAAGACCTGACTTTCGATATAGAAGACTATATCTTTACCACAGAAGCTCATTTGCTACCTCTCTGGCTATCTACTGCAAACCAAACGGCCCCTAGGAAAAACATTGTGAGTGTTGCTTCATATTTTTGAATTGATTTAATTGCAGGCTAGCTTTTATCTTCCTCAGTAAAAGTAACTCTTAGAATATTTTTAGATTTTTCTTCCGTTGTTGCACAAGCTGTGTCATGCTTTGCTGTTTATGCAAACGTAAATTAGGTTATGAGTTTCTAAATGAAAATCTGGTCTTTTGTAACTGATTCCTTACATAGAATCATACAGTTGTAACAATATATTGATTGACATTTTAACTCTGCATATTTCTTTTTGCGGTTGGAAGGTTTGTAATTGTGCTTTCGTTGCAAACACATTTGGATATTGTGACTGCGCATGGTTAAAGAAAGAGAAAACAATGCTTAAATTCTCCCTCTTTTCCCATTTACAGACTACAGAATACACAGAATTGGATGATAGCAACTTTGACTGGACATGCCCCAACACTCAGATCCTCTTTCCAAATGACCCAATGTATGCTCAGAGCATCAGGGAACCTCTGAAAAATGTGGTGGACAAGAGTTGTCCTAGGGGTGTTTCCAGAGCGTAAGATCATTGTTTATACCTTTCATAACTATGTGATAGGTAAAGGTAAAGACACCCCTGACCATTAGGTCCAGTTGTGGACGACTCTGGGGCTGTGTGCTCATCTCACTCTATAGGCCGAGGGAGCTGGCGTTTGTCTGCAGACAGCTTCTGGGTTGTGTGGCCAGCATGACAAAGCCACTTCTGGCGAACCAGAGTAGTGCATGGAAACGCCGTTTACCTTCCCACCGGAGCGGTACCTATTTATCTACTTGCACTTTGACGTGCTTTCAAACTGCTAGGTGGGCAGGAGCTGGGACCGAGCAACGGGAGCCCTGTCGGGGATTTGAACCACCGACCTTCTGATCGGCAAGCCCTAGGCTCTGTGGTTTAGACCACAGCACCACCCGCGTCCCTAACTAGGTGATACAGCTGCTTATATTGAGCTGATATACTTTTATGCATTGACTAACACATAATGATGAAATCATTCGACACAGCTTGGTTTGGATGACTCGTTGCAATGGAATATGCCTAAGGTTCTTGTATCAGAATTTCCCAGCCTGATTGCAACTTGTCTATTTGTAATGGATGATGGGAGTTGTAGTCAAAAACATCTGCGTCCAAAAAGAGAAAGCAAGGCTTGTGTTTCAGCCTGCCAACTTCCAGAAGCCTTTTCATGCATTTTATTACCCGTTCAGTGGCCTCTGACGGCTACGCATAGCATGTTTTAGTCTTACGCACCTCATGTATATTATTCAGGCACCATCAATTCAGTTCTTAAAATGTAGATGGCATGCTTTCTCTTGCAGGGAAGAGAGTTTGGGCACCGGACCAAAGCCCCCCCTGAGAGCCAGGGATTTCATGGCCAGTAATCCTGAGCATTTAGAGATCCTAAAGAAGATGGGAGTCAGCTTGATTCACCTCAAAGATGGAAGAGTCCAGCTGGTGCAACATGCTATTCAAGTAAGATCTTGCCCTGTCATAGCCCCTCAGTGTACTTGTCTTCATTTATGCAGTAGTAGGAAGTTGACATCCAGGCACTCTTAATTTTTATTTTATTTTATTTGGAACAAGTTGTTTCAGTTTAATTATAGTACAGGTCGGAGAGGTATAAATATGGATATAATACATTGGAATAAATTAAGACTTTCCATTATGAACAAACTACCTGCATATAAAATAATGACTTATTTAGAATTACGATTTTAATTGTAATCATTTTTAATTTATAATCAGTTCATTTTGCTCCAGACCCTGCCAGTTTGGATACCAATAGCTCATCTGAACTAATGGCAGAAAAAAAACTTAATAAGTTCATACAGTGGACCCTCGAGTTACATACCGCTCTGGATACGTAACTTTCAGGTTACGAATGCGTCAAACCCAGAAGTGTGTACTTTCAGTTTCGCCGGATGCGCAGAAGCAATCACACCATGTGCATGTTCAGAAGCGGCGCCTCTGCCTACAGACTTTTTGGGTTGCGGACGGACCCCCAGAACAAATTTAATTCGTATCCGGATGGTCCACTGTATTTCATTCGGACTGACCTATAAGGGTATTGCCCTTAAGTCATTGAGTTTGTTTACTAATCCTTATACTGTACACTCACATCATTTATTTTTATTTATTTTTATTTTGTGTTTTGACAAAGTAATAATAATAAATAAATAAAAATGTGCACTCCACCCCCAAAACCACTGTAACTATCCAACCTCCCAAAATTTCAACACCTCTTATGATGGTTTGACCCCTTTCTGTTTTAACAGTACAAATTCTACAGATACTACAGATATTTGGCACTCTTAAATTTAGGCACACCAGAAAGTATCCTTGAAATACTTGTCCTAATTTCTGTGAAGCTGTTGAACAACAAGTCCTTTTTCCTGATGTTACACAAACTAAGTAGCACAGTTATACTGTCTAGTAGTCCATTCAATCATGTCTGAATGTTTAGTGGGAGACAGGTTTTTCAAAATATTTGTTAGTGGTAAGCTGCGAAGTTGAATTGAATATGTTTCAAATTTTGAGGTCATTACCATGATAGGGCCTTTTCAGTGGTGACACCGATGCTCTAGAACTTTCCAGGTTAGCCTTTCTCTTCACCTGTGCTGAGGACTTTCTGGCACTGAGTAGGGCTGCTTTATTCCAGAGGGCATGTTGAGTTCTCGGAACTGGTTTTTTTTATTTTACTGAGGAGTATTGTGTCTTGCTGCTGGCAGCGTAATGGTTCTTTTGCCTGTGTTTTTATATTTTTAGTATGCATGTGGAATTTTATACTGAAAATACCCTTGGAAGTGTTGTCAGATACAAATAACTGTTTATTTACTTTCTTAAAAAAACCAAAAATTAATTCTAAAATATTTTAGCTAATGCTGGATGTCTAGAAGTTCAGAATAAACTAATTAGGAAGTTTCCTCAGGAAATGCTGTTGCATGTTTTGTCTGCAGGGTTAGAATGAAAAAATGCTAGATATTGCTTACTTTTTCATTAGGCAGCAAGCTCACTCGATGCGGAGGATGGTCTACGGTTCATGCAAGAAATGATTGAGCTGTCCAGTCAGCAGCAAAAAGAGCAGCAGCTACCTCCTCGTGCCGTTCAAATTGTTTCCCACCCGTTCTTTGGCAGAGTGGTTTTGACAGCTGGGCCTGCGCAGTTTGGAATGGATCTCTCCAAACACAAATCAGGGGTGCGTTCTGTCTTTACAGCCTTGTGATTAACAAAAAAGCAACCACTTGTATGGTTTATACGGAAGTTATGGGAAATTGTTAACATACAGAACTTTAATGTATCTAAAACAAGAGTACTATATAATTTTATTAAGTTTTCTGTTTTACAATTTAACATACTCATTTATACATCCTTAAGATATCAATGACTTCCCTTCTTCTCTTTCCATGGTTCATTTTACACACATAAATCCCTGCATATTTTACAAAAAAACCATACCATTCAGTATTCCATTATTGCATCCATCAAAACTTGTTGAATTTATCTTAATGCTGCCAGCGTTTTCAGCTGTACACAATTATTTCCCGTATATTCCGTAAATGTTTTCCAATCTCTTTAAACATATGTTCTCCCTGTTCTCTTATTCTATATGTTAAGTTTAAAAAAACAACTAGAAAAAGAGTTGTTCTAGAAGCTCCCCAAGTCAAGAAAACAAAGCAACTCTGAATAACTAAGGCCAAAAGCAGATGGCTAACTCATATGTCAGGAAATGGAGTGGAGGGGAACAGTCTGAATAGGCGCTGAGCAAGATTGTTTTATGTACGAAGCCAATTGAGGCTCCCCATTTTGCCCACCAGGCCATTTGCCCGAAACCACCCCAACCCACCCCACACCTGACAGTGTATGTGATGTCAGGTGTGGGGCAGATAGAAATGAATCTGGAAAGCGTGATTGAACTCCCTGCGCATCAGCTGATGCATGATTTGTTGCAGGCAACACATTTTAATAAATTGCAGTAGCTTCAAATGCCACTATTCTGATTTAGCATGCAATGAATCATCCTACTGGGATAGCTCAGTTGGTAGAACATGAGGCTCTGCTCTTAATCTCAGGGTTCGAGCCCCACGGTGGGCAGTAGATTCCTGCATCGCATAGGGTTGGACTGGATGACCCTGGGGGTCCCGTCCAACTTTATGGTTCTATGAATGAGTTCTGGAATAACTGCCTTCACTGCAGTTATTGGGCACAATCCAGTGCAGTGTGCTGAAGCTGTTAGATTTCACTGAGTTTAAGAGCGCCAGCCCTGGGTTGGATGATGATCACTGCCAGATTTACATATAAGCTAAACAAGCTATAGCTTAGGGCCCCACTCTCTTGCCCCCCCCCCCCAAATTTAAAGAAAACCTGGATGTACGATTCCAAAATATAAGATAAAAAACAAATCAAACAAAACCAACGTACAGCAACAGTGTTTTGTGTTGTGTAGGCTCCTGTGATGTAAGTAATGGGCCCCGCCTGCTAGCCTGCTTCCTCAAATATAACTGGTTTGCTCATTTCTATATATAGGGCAGTGTTTCCCAACCGGTGTTCCGCGGCACACTAGTGTGCCGCGAGACGTTGCCTGGTGTGCCACGGGAAAAATTTAAAAATTCGAAAGATATCCGGAGAGGCGGCCTTCAGGCGAGTTTTAATTTTAATTTTCCTTCTCCCACTTAATGCCCCACGCTCACCCGAGCAGCTTGCAGTCCTCGGTAACCACGGCGACCCGAGGGAAGGGAGGGAACAGGGAAGTCGAGGGCGGCGGCGAGCCGCGATGACGTCAGTGGGCCGCGCCGCCTCGCCCTGGCACGGTGTGAGAGCCCCGGCTAGTGGCGCGAGCTTCAGAATAAGTGGGATCCGCGTGCGCGAGACCGAGATCGCGGGTAAGGAGCTCAGCCCTGGGCAGGAGGAAGCGGGGCCGCGCGTGCGGGCCACATCCCCACAGAGAGCGAGCCTCCCCCGGCCCACCACTCTGGGCAGGTCCACTCGCATGAGGGGGCGGCGATGGCGACGGCCGGCAGCTTGCCTGCAATGCCATCCCTCGAGCAGGCGAGGAGCCCGGAGGCTCTGGGAGTCCAGAGCACTTGGTCGCATTCAGGATCTAGAGTGGGGAAGCGGGGCTTGTGTCTGGGCTGGACACATTGGGCTGCCTGTGCCGCTCGACCTGCGGGGAGAAATCAGGGTGGGAGTCACGACCGTGAGGCAGGGCTGCCAAGTGTGGCAGAAGAGGACACGGCCGTCGCACCTGTCCTTAGGTAGGAGCTTCTTCCGTGTCGACCTGCTGCCCTAAAGTCTTGGCTTTTTTCTTGGCTTTTTGGCGGTTGGCACAGAAGGAAGGCAAGGGGGAGGGGAAAAAATTGAAACTTACACTTTGTAGATTTTATTGCATTAGCCGTGTGGCCATAGCATGATATACATAGAAATAACAACATAAAATGGGGGTGGGGAGGTAAAAGTAGATATCGTCCTGGGCGAATACTTAAAAAAAAAAATGGGGATAACAAAAGTGACAGGGGATTTAAAACATCGAGTGACAGATAGTACAAAAACAAAAAGACAAAAACTGCTGAGGCTGGAGGAGGATCGTTAAGAGGTCCTTCATCTCCTCAGATTTGTCCTAGCTCCTTGTCCTTGTACAATAAGGCTACTTGGAACTTCGTTCGATTGTGCGGCGTATCGACTGCAGCTGTGGTGTTAAAGAAGAAGTTGGTGCCGCTTTCCTCTTCATCACACTAAGCAGGAAGTTAGCTGTCATCTCGGTAATCCAACAATCAGAATCCTGCAAAAGAAGGGACACTATCCAAGGCTGGATTGGGAGATGAAGCTTGTTCACGAGAGGAGTTAGAAACCGAGATCTTTCATCTGTCCAGTTGGGACAGAAGAGCATTACATGTTCCATAGTCTCCAGAGCCGTGTCATTACAGGTGCATGTTCTATTTGCGATGGGAACTCTAGAATAACGACCCGACAGAACTGCTGTAGGAAAACAGTTGAGACGGGCACAGGTAAAGGCCCAACTTTCGTGCGTCCCTCCCGGCGTGACGCTGCGCGCTGACGTCACGGGGCTGTAATGGTGGTGTGCCTCGAGATTTTTTTTCATGAAACAAGTGTGCCTTTGCCCAAAAAAGGTTGGGAAACACTGATATAGGGTGCCTACATTCTGCATGTGCAAATGGCTTTGGATATCTCTTAGGTCCATAAATTACCGTATAGTATATATTCAACAGAAAAAACAGTGACAATTTGTTCTTGACAAAGGATAGCTGGGCATATAACGGGCCCCATTACCTCCAGTAGCTTAGGGCCCCATCAAACCTAAATCTTGCCCTGATGATGATGATGATGGTTGTATTTCCTAGTATGCTCTTCATATATTTTAGTGCAAAAAATGCAAATGTTTACATGCTTGAATACCGTATACTAAAGCCTTTCATCTCTTCAACAGGCAAGAGGATTTGTTGCAGTCAGTAAACCATATAATGGATGCTCTGAGATCACCAACCCTGAAGCGCTGAAGGATAAAATTGCTTTGATGCAAAGAGGGCAGTGCATGTTTGCTGAAAAGGCACGGAACATCCAAAAAGCTGGGGCTATAGGTGGCATTGTTATTGGTAAGTGAAAGAGAAAACTTATATAAAGTTTTTTTGGTTAACAGTGAGACACTTGAAATGTTAAGGCGGGTGTGACTCGTGCACGTTAATAATTTTAATGTGAATAATTTCGATGTGTACCCCAGCCTATCTATAAAAGGTAAAGGTAAAGGTACCCCTGCCCGTACAGGCCAGTCTTGACAAACTCTAGGGTTGTGCGCCCATCTCACTCAAGAGGCCGGGGCCAGCGCTGTCTGGAGACACTTCTGGGTCACGTGGCCAGCGTGACATCGCTGCTCTGGCGAGCCAGAGCCGCACACGGAAACGCCGTTTACCTTCCCGCTAGTAAGCGGTCCCTATTTATCTACTTGCACCCGGGAGTGCTTTCGAACTGCTAGGTTGGCAGGCGCTGGACCGAACAACGGGAGCGCACCCCGCCGCGGGGATTCGAACCGCCGACCTTTCGATCGGCAAGCCCTAGGCGCTGAGGCTTTTACCCACAGCGCCACCCGCATCCCTCAGCCTATCTATAGTATTTATTTATTTAAAACCTTTTAAACATTTATATACTACCCTCCTTCTAATTCAGTGTACGGCATGAAGTAATTCAAACTATTACCCAGGTTAAGGCTTGGGCAGTGCAAATTGTCTCATTAAATAAATAAAAAATTACCTTGGCATTTAAAGGATCACAGTGTGGGTGTCGCATACTGTGTTTATTCCAAAAACCAGGATGCCTCACGGGTGAAAAAGCCCTTGTGGTTGAATAATGAATTTCTGATAGAGTAGGTGGTTGGTTAAGGGCTGTCGAAGACCTCAAGATGGTCTGGTTGCCTGTATTGCATTCATATCCCACCTTTCCTGAGGAGCTCACAGTGGGTTGTATGAGAAGAGGCATGCCTTCAAGTATTCAGGTTCCAAGCCATTTAGGATTTTTAAAGATAAGTACCAGCACCTTGCCTGTAGACAAAGAGGCAGTTAGAAGTTTATTTAAAATTGGTATGTATTATAAGTGATGCGGGTGGCGCTGTGGTCTAAACCACAGAGCCTAGGACTTGCCGATCAGAAGGTCGGCGGTTCGAATCCCTGCAATGGGGTGAGCTCCCGTTGTTCGGTCCCAGCTCCTGCCCACCTAGCAGTTCGAAAGCACGTCAAAGTGCAAGTAGATAAATAGGTACCACTCTGGTGGGAAGGTAAACGGCATTTCCGTGTGCTGCTCTGGTTCGCCAGAAGCGGCTTAGTCATGCTGGCCACATGACCCGGAAGCTGTCTGCGGACAAACGCCGGTTCCCTCGGCCTATAGAGTGATATGAGCGCCGCAACCCCAGAGTCGTCCATGACTGGACCTAACGGTCAGGGGTCCCTTTACCTTTACAGTGGTACCTCTGGTTACGTACTTAATTCGTTCCAGAGGTTCGTTCTTAACCTGAAACTGTTCTTAACCTGAAGCCCCACTTTAGCAAATAGGGCCTCCCGCTGCTGCCACGCCGCTGGAGCACGACTTCTGTTGTCATCCAGAGGCAAAGTTCTTAAGCTGAGGTACTATTTCTTGGTTAGCGGAGTCTGTAACCTGAAGCGTATGTAACCTGAAGCGAGGTACCACTGTATAAGTGAATCTGGTTGTATTGGTCTGAATTCTGCTAACCAGGTTTTATACTGATTGAAGGTCCAAGTAACTTTCAAGTTCCACTGAGAATTCAATGGGTGAAAGTTAATATTAATGGAAAACCCTGCTCGTTCCACCTAGATGACAATGAAGGAAGCAGCAGCGACACAGCCCCTCTCTTCCAGATGGCAGGCGATGGCAAGAATACAGACGACATCACTGTGCCAATGCTGTTTCTGTTCAACAAGGAAGGCAGTATTATCCTTGATGCCATCCAGGAATATGAAGCTGTAGAAGTGCTGCTTTCTGACAAAGCAAAAGACAGAGGTAAGAGCGAAAACCATGTTAGCGTGTGAAAGGTGGCCCCGGCTCAGTTAATTCAGTCCAAATTTCAGCAAAGGAGGCCAAAATAACAGGATGAATGCGAGTCTCTGGAAGATCAGCAAACCCATAACACAGGCATAGGCAAACTCTGCCCTCCAGATGTTTGGGGACTACAATTCCCATCATCCCTGACCACTGTCCTTTTAGCTAGGGATGATGGGAGTTGTAGTCCCAAAACATCTGGAGGGCCGAGTTTGCCTATGTCTGGCATAACAGCACTAAGGTCAGTCTTCCCAAAGGACTGAGGAGGTAGCCAATAGAACACCAACTTAAGTAAAAATCCAAGAAATTATACACTTGTCAGTCTAACTTTTCAGGTAATTGGTAGAACGTTTTAAGACTACAGTAGCTAAACATATAAATAAGTGGATATGCCTTGGGCATGATGAATCTCAGTTTGAGCACTATCCCACCTTGAAGTCCTGTTGATTCCCATTGGGGTGTTTTAGCAGGAACGTAATTTAAAAGGCTGTCTTAAGATGGCTTGCAGGCCTGTCATATATATTTCAAGATGCAAGTAGGTTCTTCTCGATAAGGGCCAAGTTAGCATTCTCCTTGGGACGCGGGTGGCGCTGTGGGTTAAACCACAGAGCCTAGGACTTGCTGATCAGAAGGTCAGCGGTTCGAATCCCTGCGACGGGGTGAGTCCCCGTTGCTCGGTCCCTGCTCCTGCCAACCTAGCATTTCGAAAGCACGTCAAAGTGCAAGTAGATAAATAGGTACCGCTCTGGCGGGAAGGTAAACGGCGTTTCCTTGTGCTGCTCTGGTTCTCCAGAAGCGGCTTAGTCATGCTGGCCACATGACCTGGAAGCTGTACGCCAGCTCCCTCGGCCAATAAAGCGAGATGAGCGCTGCAACCCCAGAGTCGGTCACGACTGGACCTAATGGTCAGGGGTCCTTTACCTTTAGCGTTCTCCTTAAAGCTCCCTAGATTTCTCCCGCCTTTTATGTTCCTAGAATATTTCTCTTCAGGTGGCAACTTTCTGACCACTATATCACATTTTATTTATAAAAGCATTTGGGAACTGCCCTCTCACAAAACAGTGGATCGGTGTACAACAATATAAAGACATTTAAAAGCAATACAAAGCAATAATTAAAATGATTGGCTGCTCAGGGGACACTTTAAAGGATGTCATAGACCCCATAGCATAAAGATAATCTTCCAGAGATGTCTGAAAGTCAAAAGCGAGGATGCCTTTGTACGCAGGGAGGGCATGTCAACAGTATTCTTGTGTTGGTGTGCGGTCCCTTCAAACCATTTTCTAAAGCAGCAGCTATGTTAATGAATGAATTGCCATTGTAAGTTAGGAAATTTCTGAATTTAAAATGCGTATGTGCTTTTTCCCTTCTTCCTGTGCTACCCTTGGATTGTCAGCAACTATATTTAAAGATAAAATGATTCCAAACTACATTATTGATAGCAGTAAGTATCAAACATCTGTATGTTTTTGCCCAAAATTCTGAAAGCATTTCACCTTTGGGATGTTCGCTTTGACAATGCTGAATTGTGATGCAAGACGAACCAGAATTGCCTAATCCTTGATTCATGAGTAGTGTATGTTTCAAGTCATTGAGGTGCTGTTCACATGTTGGTCCCATAGGTGACATATGGACACTAATAATCCCTAGGACCTTTGGGGAAGATAAACCACTTGAAAGATCAGCCACTGGTTATTTCAGACTGAAAGGTTCCTTTGGGCAGATTATAGTAATTGATTTTTAGAGACCTTTCTTTGCAGAAAATTTCTTTGGAATTGTTCCAAAAATAACTATCAGCCTCAAACTCTTACACACTAAACATGTGTAATAAGAGGGTTAATTATGACATTATTAATAGCTGTGTTTATTTGATAAAAGCTTGAAAACAGATACAGCCCTACCTTGGAAGTGGAACAGCTTAGTTCCCGAACATTTTGGCTCCTGAACGTCGCAAACCTGGAAGTGACTGTTCCGGTTAGCGAACTATTTTTGGAAGCCAAACGTCCGACGGGGCTTCCATGGCTTCTGATTGGCTGCAGGAGCTTCCTGCAGCCAATCAGAAGCCGCGCTTTGGTTTTTGAACGTTTTGGAAGTCGAACGGACTTCCGGAACGGATTCCACTCAGCTTCCAAGGTACAACTGTACTCAAGAGCCATGAACTACAGTTGTTTAAAAAAATCATTGTGTTCCTTTCCCCTCTTAAGATTTGGAAATGGAAAGCATGGATCAGAAGTCATCTGATAATGATTCTCATAACCAGAGGTCAGAAGAGATTTCGGCAGATTTGAACTTGGTCAGTCAAGACCCAGAAGGAGAAGTTGGGTTGGAGTCACCTGCAGAGTTGGGCAGCAGTAGTGTTTCCCTTATGGACCAGGAATCCTGTATCCCTAAACTCCAGGAAACTAATAAACTCCAAGAAACTAGTAGTCAAGCATCAGACTTGGAAAATCACCCTGAGGAACAATCAAAGATTGAAAGTGACTCCAGTCCCACTGATAGTTGGGACAATAATAAAGGACAGTCTATGGAATCAATATTAGCTGATTGGAATGAAGACATAGAAGCTTTTGAAATGATGGAAAAGGATGAACTATAACTTCTAATAAAGTGCTTGTGGGACTACAAAGTGGTGAACTTGATGGAGGATAGTAAAGACCCTAGCATCTGAAAATTAAAAAAAGAGAGAATTGTTCAGTATTCTGAGGAACAGCCAGGTTCCATTGGCAAAAGCCAGCATGTGTTAAAATTTGTATTGTTTTTGTTCCCCCTGTTTTATGGAAAATGGGAATGTGCAATTGACCCATTTGCAGGGTTCCTTTGCATGGTGCTGTAGCACAGGAGGTTCATTCAGGGAATGATTTGGATCCCTCCTGCGTTCCACGTTGCTGTAAGTGAGCTTTGTCTAAGCCTTAGGAAGCAGAGAATGAATGAAACAGGGATTTCAATGCACCACCGAGTCTGGATGGCTAGTTGGGGCACGGCACATGATGGCTACAGGCTGGCTGTTGGCGATGATGCTTTTTCAAGGGTCTATACCGTATCTCAGAAGCCTTTTTATGGAGACATGGCAGAAGGTACTTCAGGCTGTGGTGGCCTTTATAGCGAGGGCAGAACAGCAGGCAGCTCTGACTTGTCCTGTGCCACTTAATATAGCGAGTGTGCTGTACCTCCTTTATCACATCTTCCATTTATTATTTTGAAGAGCGACCAAGATAACTTGGATTTATTATTTTTTTAAGTTCCTAGTTCAAGTCAAGATTGCCTTTGATTTACAGACTATGTGCTCGATTAGCAAAAAAAAAAAAAAAAAGAAAGAAATTAAAACCGCAGTTAATTCTGAAACTTGAATCTGAGTAATGGGGCATAGCCTCTTCTCTACACTCCCATTACTTTTATTTTGAACCTTGCACAGTGAATCGTGAGCTAAAATAAGCCAAACTCGCTTCCTTGCCGATTTTCTGGGAAAGGTACCAAATCAGATAGTGCTGGGATAGAATTTATTTCATTTTATATTTTTTTTGCAACTTTAAATCAGCCTTACATCAGTAACATCTCTCTATTCCTGTATACAGCTTAAATTTCTGTGCACAAAAAGGCCCGTATGTCCATAGGAAAGTATGAAGTCAGTGAAAGACTGGTATCATGTGTAGATTTTTTTTTTTAAAAAAAAGTTGTAGAAATCCTAGTGTGTTTGACAGTAATCATGTTTCACAAATGTCTTAAAGTGAGCTTTTTCTTTTTTTTTTTTACAAACCCACATGTAGCTAAAAGACAAAGGAAAATAATACAGTTGCGTCTACGCAAGACTGCCGGACGTTGCTTATTTATATCCAGTCTTGATTACGTTTGTCTTTATTGTTCTCGGGTTTTTTGGCTGTAGGAAACTGATTTGACACGGCACAGTATGTGCCGTGCCCTGTTCTGCCACTTTATGTATAAATGTGTTTTTGTTTTAATGGAGAACTAGCAGAATCCCTGTTAGGGTGATGGGCTGTATGTGGGGAGAGGAGTGCTCTCACCGGAGGCGAAATTCATTCGGTGATGGGCGTTTTTGGAGCGCGCGAACTGTTAAAACAGCACTTTACCTTCCCCATAGAAGTGAATGATCAATCGTTGACCTAGACATACATATAGGGAGAAAGTAAAGCTGTATCTGTTGGGATTCTACTGGTATGTGAACTAAACCTGCCCTCTGCTTTTGTACCCCAGTGAACTGAGCAGTTCAAAGGGCAGGTATACCTTTTTCCGTCCAGTCCCAGATTGTGTAATGTCGCATGCAACACAAATCCTTAGAAACTGGCTATATAACAGTTAGGTTCATTTCCAGTCTGAACCCGAGGATTGATCCTAGCACAAAAAGGTGCAAAGCCACCTTTCTAAAAAACATATCAGCCAGGTGGAAAGACCTTATTCTTATGGATGAAACAGTGGTGCGAAATCTTAGTGGACAAATGAATAAAAGTGTCCTTTAACTTTTTTCAATTCTTTTTTCCCCATTTGCACATGTGAGTGTTAGGTGTGGGGCCTTCAGCATTTTTTTGTGGAGTTCCCAGAGATGAATTATGTTTAGACCGGAGGCTTTAATTTTTTAATGATTATTATTTTTTTGTACGTGGACTGTTCCTTCAGGGAACTTGAATAGAGGCTTCTCTAAAGTGTCCTTTAGTAACTTAGGCCTAGAGCTTAGAGGAGAATGTGTGCGTTTCGGGCCAAATGCACTTAATTTTAAGTTAGAACTGTAAAAAGCAAGTGGGATGTTCTGCATGTCTGAGTAATAGTGCCACTTGTAAAAAACTTCTCAATATTAACTCTGTCCTAGGCTATAACTTACCCCATCAAACTGCTATTTCCATTAGGCCTTCAATAGTAACGGCTCATATGGTGTTTCTGGTGAACTGGTGTTTCTGGTGAACTGAATCTTTAGTCATTGTATCTTCACCAAGTGTTTTAGACAAAACAGCAGCTGCTAAATTCCATTTCTTCCTACCGATAATTTATTAAGAGTGTGAGCTACCTGCTGCTTATTTGTACATAGTCCATAATGTGGATTTTTAAGTTGATGTGTTGACATCGAAATATCTGCACACCTTTTGAGTTTTCCTTATTAATTCAGGGATTATTGAAAGATTCCCTTGCCATTAGAAAGGAGCATCTGAACGGTGGTAGAGTCTACCTCAGATATAGGTTGCCCTTTTATATATTTTTTGTTCTTCATCATAGCCATAAGCCTGTTGGACAATAGCAAAAAAAAAGGTTTACATGTTAGTAGCTAAATTTGGAGACTTGTCTTTTGGAGAGAGCTTACCAATTATGAGTTAATATCTTCATATCACAACAGAAGCCCTTTTTTTTGGACAAGCATTCCTGTATGTGGTTGAGGTGTTCCTTGCGGAGAGGGTATCAAATGAGCTGGCACAATAACAGGGTTAATTTCTCATCAGGATCTTACTAAACCTGCTGCCTTGTGCTTCTTTCGGCATAGTGATTTATAGCAGGTTCATAGAGCTCCCAGAGACGCCCTATAGTTAGGACAACAGAGGAAACATTCTATGAATGCATAACCGTACATCCAGATTTTATAAGACTTTTTACCAGCCCAATTTACAGCCATATATTTTCTTATGATGTAATTTATGAAAAGTGTAATAAGGGGTGCTGCAACACGACCGTTGTTGGGTTTTACTGTCTGGTAATTTTCAGTGTGTACAATATTCCTAAGGGCAACTGTGTACTGTGATGTAGAAGTCTGAGCTCAAAGTGTATATATAATCCTTGTATATAAAATTGTGTACCTAATTATAATTGCTGATTGTAAAGATTTAATAAAATATGTAAATATTCTGGTCAAAGTGTTTTGCTTTGTATATGGTCTAAAAGTTCCTCCTTATTTCTACTCTGTCATTCACATCTTGTATCTTCCTCTGTTTCTCCCTTGTCACTCCCTTGTTCCTCTCTCTTATCTCTCCTGTCCCATCCATTTCCCCCTCCTAATGCTTTATGATATCTCCTCCAAATTTATTTATTTATTGCTTCTTCCTCTGAGTTCAGCCTCTTCCTGCTCTGTTTATAAGTGAATGAAATTCCTTCCGGGAATTCCCAGCGGAAGGGGATGTTATTCTTTCTGAGTGCATCTGTTAAGCGTTTATATTTTCCTCTTTTCTTCCTCAATCTAGCTGGTATTTCATGCATGATTATAATTTCTCGTTCTCCAATTCTGAGTTTTTTCTTCTTATTTGCTTGCATTATTTGATCTTTTAAAATTTGTGAGTTAAGAAAGACTAGGCAATCTCCAGGCCACCTATTGGGTCTGGCAGTTCTTGACCTAAATCGGAATGCTCTGTCCATGCAGATAGAGATGTCTTCTTCTTCTTGGATTTCCAACCAATATGCTAGGGCTTTGTATATTACTTTGCTTTGTATAAGTGACAAGCAAACAAGTTTCTCCCAGTTGCACAAATGTTCCCTATCTTCAAATATAAACACCAATGCCAAATCTAACATATGCTCCCTTCAAAATTTAGCATAAGTGTAATCTCAGGCATGAGGAAGGAATTGGTGCCCTTTCGAGGCCATAAGTGACATTATCCGAAAGGTACGGAAGAAATATAGAGGGTTGTTGTTTTTTACAGCTCTATAAAATTCTCGTGTGCCTTGTAGAGGAGTTGCTCCCCCCTCCCAGAAAATAAAAACAGACCCTAAAAGACCTCTCAAAGCTCTGTAAGCTGCCAAGACCTTACTGGTATGCATTTGTTTAATATAAGAATATAATATGGGTTTCAGTCTACAGCAAGTGTGCCGGAAGAAGCAAAACAAGCATAAAGGTCAGGTCTGTGCCCCACATTTATTTAAGGACAATTCTGGGGCATGTCCAGAGGATGATAACAAAAGATGCGCGGTTACACAGATGATGGAGTGGCTTGGCTTTCTTGGTAGAGTCTATGTCATTTTTTGGTACCAGTTAAAGTGCTTTTTGCAGTCCATTTACATTGAGATGTTTGATGCCCTCTTTTTTTTGTACAGTCATACCTCGGGTTAAAGTCGCTTCAGGTTAAATCTTTTCAGGTTGTGTCCTGCAGCGACCCGGAAGTAGCGGAACGGGTTACTTCTGGGTTTCGCCGCTCGCGCATGCGCTCAAAATGATGTCATGCGCAGAAGCGACGAATCGCGACCTGCGCACGCACAGACGCGGATTGCATTCTGCTCAGGTTGCGAATGGGGCTCCAGAACGGATGCCGTCCGCAACCAGAGGTACCACTGTATTTACGGTATGTGGACTGCCCTGGAAGTATCTACCGAAGTTCATAATTTTATTTTTGTTATTTTTTTAAAATCACCTTCCACTCATCTTTCAAGGCAACGCTCAAACCACAGAAGCAGCTGAAAAGAAGCAACGCAGTAGCAACAAATGAATTCAGAAACAATGCCAAGGAGCCGCTCATGACAGAAACCTGTTAGTCCAGCTGGGGAAGGTTATCAGAACAAAAATCTCTTCCGTTGTTTCCAGAGAGTGCGTATTAGTAGGAACTTGTTGCGTCTCAACAGAAATGCTATTGCACAGAATGGGCAGCCACACTAAAAGCCTGGCTCTGATGCCAGTGTCCTGGAAGAAGCAAAGATCCCCAGTGTCGAAGCAATGATTCTTCAACATCAACTTTGTCGAATGACATGAATGTCTAAGATAAAGGTAAAGGTAAAGGTACCCCTGCCCATACGGGCCAGTCTTGACAGACTCTGGGGTTGTGCGCCCATCTCACTCGAGGCCGGGGGCCAGCGCTGTCCGGAGACACTTCCGGGTCACGTGGCCAGCGTGACAAAGCTGCATCTGCTGAGCCAGCGCAGCACACGGAAACGCCGTTTACCTTCCCGCCAGTAAGCGGTCCCTATTTATCTACTTGCACCTGGGGGTGCTTTCGAACTGCTAGGTTGGCAGGCACTGGGACCGAGCAACGGGAGCGCACCCCGCCGCGGGGATTGTCTAAGATAACCTTTGTTAAAAGACCAGAAGCTTTTTTGCTAGACATTATAGGTCAAGACTGGGACAGGGGGGCGCTGTGGGTTAAACCACAGAGCCTACGACTTGCTGATCGGAAGGTTGGCGGTTTGAATCCCCCTGACGCGGTGAGCTCCTGTTGCTTGGTCCCTGCTCCTGCCAACCTAGCAGTTTGAAAGCACATCAAAGTGCAAGTAGATAAATAGGTACTGCTCTGGCGGGAAGGTAAACGGCATTTCTGTGCACTGCTCTGGTTCGCCAGAAGCGGCTTAGTCAGGCTGGCCACATGACCCGGCCAATAAAGCGAGATGAGCGCTGCAACCCCAGACTCGTTCACGACTGGACCTAATGATCAGGGGTCCCTTTACCTTTACCTATAGGTCAAGACTTGCCAAAGGAACAGAAGAAACTACTTATGTACGCCACAACAGCAGCTAGGATACTACTAGCCCCAAAATGGAAAGACAAGATACCAACTAAAGAAGAACGGCAAGGAAAAACTGATGGACTATGTGGAAATGGCGAAGCTAACTGGGAAACTTAAGAGACAAAGAAAATAGAGAATTTAAAAAAGACTGGGAACCATTTATGTGGTACTTACAAAAACATTGTAAAGAAGTGAACTCACTAGCAGGGTTTGAGTAAACACAATTAACAAAACGAACATAGAGAGTGAGGTGTAAAAATTGGGAAATGATAAAGTGTAAGAGGCAATTTGAAAACAATCACGGTGTAAAAAGGATAAGAACAGAACAATATTTAATCTAAAGAATGTAATATTAAGGTATAATAAAGCAAACAGGAGAAGTTAATACGTAAAGAACCAGAAGAGGAAGTTGAGGGAAGTCATAGGGGTGGGGAATATGGAAATTGTATTTTTTCTTTTTCTTGGAGATTGTAATGAGTATAAAATTGTAAAACTTAATAAATTATTAAAAAACAAACCTCAGCTTTGTCGGACTGGTCACGTTGTTCGGATGCCTGATGATTGTCTTCCAAAGCAACTACTCTTTCCGAACTTAAAAACGGAAAGCGTAATGCTAGTGATCAACAAAAGAGGTTTAAAGAATCTCTCAAGGCAAATCTAAAAAAATGTAGTATAAACACTGGCAACTGGGAAACACTGGCCTGCGAGCGCTCCAATTGGAGAACAGCCAAAGGTGTCATGGGCTTTGAAGACGCTCGAACTCAGGACGAAAGGGAGAAACGTGCTAAGAGGAAGGCACGCTTGGCAAACCCTCACCATGATCAGCTCCCTCCCAGAAACCAACATCCCCACTGTGGAAGGATGTGTGGATCCAGAATTTGCCTCCTTGGTCACTTATGGACTCACTGTTAAGAAGACTGTGTACCTGGAAGACAATCTTTCTGTTTAGGGAAGTTTTTAATTTGTGATATTTTAATGTATTTTTAATCTTTGTTGGAAGCCGCCCAGAGTGACTGGGGAGACCCAGCCAGATGGGCGGGGTACAAATAAATTATTATTATTATTATTACTCGGCTATGAGTGATTACCAAAGATAAAGAAAAGAGATATAATATGGAGGCAGTGAGAGATTTTACTTTCTTGGGCTCCATGATCACTGCAGATGGTGACAGCAGTCATGAAATTAAAAGACGCCTGCTCCTTGGGAGAAAGGCGATGACAAACCTAGACAGCATCCTAAAAAGCAGAGACATCACCTTGCCAACAAAGGTCCATATAGTTAAAGCCATGGTTTTCCCAGTAGTGATGTATGGAAGTGAAAGCTGGACCATAAAGAAGGCTGATCGCCGAAGAATTGATGCTTTTGAATTATGGTGCTGGAGGAGACTCTTGAGAGTCCCACAGACTGCAAGAAGAACTAACACATCCATTCTTAAGGAAATCAGCCCTGAGTGGTCACTGGAAGGACAGATTGTGAAGCTGAGGCTCCAATACTTTGGTCACCTCATGAGAAGAGAAGACTCCCTGGAAAAGACCCTGATGCTGGGGAAGATGGAGGGCACAAGGAGAAGGGGACGACAGAGGACGAGATGGTTGGACAGTGTTCTCGAAGCCACAAACATGAGTCTGACCAAACTGCAGGAGGCAGTGGAAGATAGGAGTGCCTGGCGTGCTCTGGTCCATGGGGTCACGAAGAGTCGGACACGACTAAACGACTAAACAACAACAACATAATATGGTGGTCTCTTAAATATCTGATTAGCATCAACACTCGGATGCAATCATCTCTCTTGCAAATGTGCTGGAACTTGTAGACTTCCTCCCCTGTTGTTCTTGTTCAAATGACCCATCCAAAGCTGGGTTCAGAAATGTTTAAATTGCTTTGAAGGGAAACGGATCGTTCCTCTCATGGCTTTTCTAGTTATGTAGCTAGCTGCTACAGTAAAAGTGTGAAGCTGTGTATACATGGTTAAGTGGGAAATATAATCAGAAAAGGAACCATTAGAAGTGAAGCGACGATGGTCTCAGCACAGATTCATTTCACCCCCTAATTTAATTTCGGCATTGGTCTTGCTTTGTTGGACAGAGCTACCTGAACATAAGCATGTGTGTGATGTACCCTCCTATTAAGAGAATCATAAAAGATTACTGAGCTGCTCTCCATGACACACGAATAGCTGCATCTCCCTGTGACTTGATTCAAAGATGCTATTAATAGAGGGGGTTGCATGATGTTTTGGGGAAGGTGTGCCTTATCAAGTACCTGAATATCTGGTTTCTCTCAGCAATACGTTCTCTCTTTTAAATCTCCTTTTGAGCGGACTGCGGTGGGGAAAGGGTGCAATGCATTTTTTCCTTAATCCTACAATGGAAGCCTACTGTAGCCTTAATTTCAAGCTTTTATCCAACAATTTAAGTGCCATTCA